ATGCGCGTTCAAAAGTTGTGCCCACTTAGCTGAAAACTTTGCTTTACCCGGCAGCACCCTGCTGTAATCACCTCTCCCTAAATACTAAAGGCTCGAAATTCCTCCTGCAGTATTTTTCGTTTTTCTAGGAATTCTTTTAATTTCTTTTCCGTTTGCTCTGACACCATTTCTACAAAATTCTGTGTTTTTATTTATTTTTCGTCTTAGCCTATAGGGTATATCTATCCAAAAGTTTGTCTGAAATTTTTCTTCGTATTACCTTTTCTTTCTTTGATTCCATTTGCAAATCTCGCTCATCTAATTTCTTTACACAAAACATTTGATAGAAGTAGCTTATCTCTGCCTATCCTGGGGAGTTTTCTTGGAACTGCTGCTTCATTTCCTAATTCCTAGTCGAGACATTTTCTTGTTGGTTGCTGGATATTTTTGAGTACCCTGCATTGTTGTGGTCCTTGGTTCTGTTGTGTGTATCCTTTTATTCACAGTTTCATATGCTAATTTTAACAGCATTTAAAGATTTGTACATTTATTTTACACTCAAACCCCTTGCAAGTGAGGCAATGCAATAATAACTTTCGTTAAGATGAGTTACTTCCCTTGAAACAGACTTAACCATTTTAGACTCTGAAATCTCTAGGCGATAATAGCAGTCTGCACCACAACTTTGAAACTCACAGCTTTTACTTGCCCCCCATAATTTTTACCATACCGGTGGCAGTCAGAAGGAAATGGTCAATTGAAATATTTCAGGAGACTGTATTGTGTCAATCCTAAAATGGCTATTATTCCATCCACAAATCGATTTTGTTTTTTTTTTCTTTTGATATAGTAAGAACACATCATAACTGAGACAGGGCCTTCCAGTTAGCCAATGTGTTTGTCACGTATTCGTGATATTACTTCATACTGCCGTTTTGATTTCACTACTACATGTAGGCCTAAATGGGGTTTAACGTCCACCCGATACAAACTAGGGATCATTTCGGGACTAATCTATCGTTCAATTTTATTTCAATAATTGGCTTGCCCGTAGAGGTCTTTAACAGTGGAGGACCCGGAAAAAGCCCCCGAGTCTGGGCAGGCCACCGCAGGTTTCTTACTTAAATTCAACATACAAGTTCGTAAACAGTGTCATTATTTGAATAAAACCTAAATATTGCTAGATGTAATGTTCAATTCATATTTATTTATCGCAAAGTCGTCAAATGTCACATATTAAATTATCGCAAAGTCGTCAAAGGTCACAGTTCCAAGGTCACAAATGTCAGAGAATTGAAGTAGACAATTATCAAATAGAATTGTCTCCCTTTGAGTAAAAACTGCACTCCTCGGCGTTTCCAGAACCCCAAACTTACCATAGCAATTTCTTGGTTTCAATCTGGTCAGGTTTCAAGGGGGTGGGGTGGCAACTGAGAGCAACTTGCGTTTCGGCAATTGGGAGCAACTGGTTTGGACTGAAACGGGCCGACCTGGGAGCCTCTTACAACCCAAAGCAACTAGTTCCAGTCAGTTGAAGCGTGTTGCACATGTTTACTTATCTGCAATTTGCTTAATACAATAATGTATTAAAAGAATTGTGACAAGACCGAACATGCCTTCGAAGTGCTTTTTCTAACGAATTCGCCAATTTGTTGACCACGTTGAGAATAAATTAACAGTCACGTGATAAATGTAATCGTTATCTTAATTGTCCCCAGTTGCTGATAAGATCGACATAAGCACACTTGAAACTGACTGGAACTAGTTGCTGTGATCTGCGAAGTCGACATAAATCCCCGCTTTACACTTATAACACAATAGAAGGGTCTAGTTCGCTCAGAAACATTTTGTTATTTCGACAAATGGTCGAAGAAAACGTTCATCTGCTTAAAATAATTTGGGGGTTGGATGGCTTAGTGGTTAGCACGTGCGCGCTGTATCATTAAGTCTGTCATTGAGTCAAGTGGCGTGGTTTCGAATCCCCGGTTGTACGTGACAAGGAGCAGGGTCGCCTGTCCAACCTCGTGGGTTTTCTCCGGGTCCTCCGGTTTCCTCCCACTACTAAGGACCCCTACGCGCAAGCGAATTATGGAAATAAAATTGAACCATATGTTAGTCCCGAAATGACCTAGTCTGTGTCGGGTGGACGTTAAACCCCATTTCTCTCTCTCTCTCTTAAAATAATTTCTCACTCAGTTTGTCTACGAAAACATTTTCTTGGTGTCTTTGATTTATATTGTTTTTAACTTATGGTTGTTAATGTAATGGCATATAACATGATGAACTGATATTTGTTTTGACACCACTGTCAGCTTTGGATTTCCTCTAGCAACTTAAGAGTAGAATTTTCTGTGAAATTCATCACGGATATTACCTAGCCTTACTTCAATTCTTTTTTATTTGGTATCGCATGTTTGCGAGGAGAATAGATCCAAAATAGCCATTAGCGCCTCTAAAAAATACGACATAGTTCCTGTATGTTGGCAGAGACATTTTCGAGTAAATTCGACACCTGCTTGCGTATTGTCAACCTTGATAACAATGTACATTGTTGACTAAATTATTAACGAACACCGTCTGGTCGGAAAAACCAAGGGTTGGGTTCCGACAACTGAACGTGCTTGACAATTACTATATTAACGAGCCTTTAGACGAGGCAATTGCTCCGACCAAATAATCATGGTGTTTTTCAACAACTGTTTGAAAAGTTTGGTTGCATGAATCATAGAATGGTGCAGTGTATTACCGTTGATATATCGTTTCTTGCGTTGTCTGATTCTTCAAAGGACTTGAGACCACAACATCCCGCGTTGCCCTTGCCAACCCCAGCTGATTATCACTGTGTTAGGAACGGGTCCGTAGGAAGGCCTTTGTTAGCTAACATATATGTTAACGTAATGTCCCATGAAACAAAATGAAGTATAATACAAAACATGTCCTATCATGGATAACCCAGCATACAGTTAGCCAAATTCAAAGTTTTAATCAAGATTCACAATTCCTGAATGTTTTCGTCGTTTTACCACTCATTGACGCAGTTGTAGCTGCGCCTATGCGGAAAGAGTGTGTATTAAAGGATTGTACTGGAGTACTTAATACATTTAGAGCCTTTTTTAAAACTGGTATCTAGTTTCACGCATCCCCACAAAGTGACAGTATTTAATACGGAATTAATTTCGGATCTAATCTAATGTCATTATCTTGAACCGTTCGTGTATTGTCGTAGGATTGCTGTTGATAGGGGGCATGTTGAATTATTTACACAACTTACGTAAATGGATTTAAACTGAATATTATGCACCATAAATGACAGGATTAATGACGAAATATCTGCATTACACACTAAGGGGTTATTATCAATATGCAAGATAATTTTCCGTCTTGACAAGTAAAGATGGCCACCCTAGAAATGCCAAGAAAATGGGGATTAATTATAAGAAGATACATGTATGTTTGGAAAGTAGACCTGAGACAGTGAGATACTTTGAAAAGGTGATTTAACCTCGAGAGATTAAATCCAAATATGTTGTTCCTGAAACAAATTGGGGCAGAAGTACGGGCAGTGTCGATTTCATTTTATACACAAATAGAAAAAAAGGTATCGCAACATCCCTATTTGAATATAGGGCTAGTGTTTGATCAGATATGTTACCTATGATACGTTCTGGAAGGCAGCCCATCTCCCTGAAATGCCTCTAAGAAACACTGAAGCAGCAAAGGAAGCTAGATAAAAACTGAAGTTTAAGTAGGGGATTTAATGTGATTCTCCCGAGTTGAAAAAATTGTGGGGTGGGAGTGAAATCAAGTCCAAACTAGTATATGTCAATCATAGGGAATCATATAGATCAACTCATTTCATTTCATGGTTAATTTGTCCATGTTATAGAGCCGTCAAAACAGTGAAATAAAGTCAGTATCTGGTGTAGCCCCTTGGATCTGGGCCTGCATTAGTCTGTGCCATTCCTGGTGTAGTGCCCGAACCAAATCGTCAAGATTATGCACTGGTGGACCCCTCTGGTGGATGTTATGCCCAAGAATGTCCCATGTATGATTGATTGTATTCAGGTCACGGTTTCTGATCTCCTGCCGTAGAAAATCAATAACGACACGCACACGGCGTGGTCTAGGGTTGTCGTCCATAAAGTTTGCCTTATGAGAAGAGGATGATTGTCAAAGAGTGGCACTGCAATCCTGTTCAGGATATTTCTTTGGTATCGTTCACCATTTAGGTTACTTCTAACTGTTACTAGTGGAAGCTTACAGTCATATGAAAGGAAACACCATATCATGATAAAGCCGCCGCCGAATGGAACCTACTCTAAGATGTTACTCAGTGCTAGTTGTGCAGACTGATACACAGGTGACAAGACAGGTCGTATGATAGGTTGGAAACTAAATTTCCAAGCTATGAATATTATTCGCTAAGCAGGTCTAAGACAAATTTGGATTTCAATAAGTTTATGAACCAACCACCGTTTAATGGAAAGGCTCCCAAGAAGATTAGTTGTACAATCGCTAAAGTAAAAGATCAATATACACATTATTTTCCATTTGATATTTATTTTATTGAAGTACATGGTGTACATTTCATCATTTATTGATGAGATAGAGCTAGGGAAGGGAAGGGGGCGGTCAAACACACGATAAAACTTTGTTCATACAGGATATATTTATACCTTCACGTAACAACCCTCACTTCAATAAGAAGAAGATGTCACTCTCGCCTTGGTCAAATTTTTAAACTCAAATTTTCATTTCCCCGTGGGAGCCTTAACCAGAATGTGAACATTGTCATGTTCCTTTGACAGTTTCACACATTTGGATTGAATGCAAGGGTCTCAAGGATGTTAGAACAAATCATTACCGTTGCCAGTCGATTATACTTCTAATATCGCCCGGTTGCAGCGCAGCTGACGTGCCAGCAAAGATTTCTAATTGGGGGGGGGGGCGGCGATGGTAAGTCACATTTTATGTGGTGAACTATAGATATTATCTACACAGTGATAAGGGAAGACGGGGGGGGGGGTAAAGACTAAAAGTAATTAAGTGCACTTCATTATATACTAATACGGCGTATGTTTCTCTTTAATTGACCTCTTACAGCCAGACAAGTAGTAGAGAAATGACAGTGATCAACTGAATACATCGTAGTGTTTGAGCACCAGATACAGGCCCGTCTACTGTCAGTAGAGTAGTGTCCTTCAGGGAGACTAATTCGTTGGTGGTAACTGGAGTATCAGTGTGATGCATCACCTCACCCGTATCTAAATAAAATGACAAAAAATGGTATAATGAGTTGTTTGTCTTAAAGATACATTCCCGCGTAAAAACTCTGTGATTTGATGATATATTTGGCCTAAATCATGTTCAAACTCATTAATCTATCAAACATTTGCTTTAAATCCTCTCAAACCTTTGTTTTCGCGGGTGACCGTTATGTCCACTTCCACTAAGGGCGATATCGTAAGTCTCGTAGTCGGATACCTAAAGTTATAAATAAACTGTTGTTAGACGCCATGTCTGTCAACTAAATTCGTTGAGGGGAGGTCCATTTTTCAGAGGGTAATTTTTCATAACTTACTGTCCATTTATCATACATATTGAGGCCTAAGTAAATTCTTAATTATTTTCTGTCAACTTCTTTTTCCGCCGTTTAATTGCAGTACGTTGATGTCATTTATCATTTATATACTGAGCGCCATGGAACACGCATCACTTTTTTTTCAAAATTTTATTACTAAGTGGTTTTGTATGTATAATATTATGCAATACTATGAACTATTGTTTCACACAATTGTTGTTGTTTTTAGCGTTTAACGTCCGCTTCCACCGAAGGTGATATCGCAGACAAGTTCATTTTAATGATCTTAGCGCACCCGCAGGGGTCTTTGCTGTGGGAGGAAACCGGAGTACCCGGAGTAAACCCACGAGGTTGAGAAGGCGCCCCTATCTCCAAGCCACATACGCTCACACCTGGGATCGAAACCACAGCCGCAAGCCAGAGGTGACCGGCCAACTAGAGGTCGAAGCGTGACACTCTAGACCACTAAGCCATCCCAACCCCCCGTTTCACACAATGCTCCCAAACGCAAAAAATATCGGCCCGTGTGCACAAAAAAAATATAGCACGAGATGCACATGGAAAACCCAATATTCACGTGCAGCATTGTGTGTGAGCCCTTTAAAAGCATGTTTTCAACTTAATGTGCAGTACATGAACTGTGAAAAGTCAATCTGTCGTAATTTGTTGTTGGACGTGTGAAGGAATCGAGCTAGAGATGCCGAGACTTACTGAAAATCAACGGAATGAAGCCATGGGAGTGTCCAGGGCTGGCATGTCTACACGTGCTATTGCCAGACACTTCAATTGTCATCAGTCCACTATTGTAAGGTTGGTGGAACGTGTTCGAGTTACTGGATCAACACGTGACCGTCAACGTCCTGGTCCACAACGCGTTACAACCCAGGCTCAAGACCGCTACATCCGGGTCACTCATCTGCGTGACAGATTCCGCCCAGCGACTCGAATAGGTGCAGCAGTCGTCGGAAGACAAGGACCAGTAAGTGCCAACACCGTAAGACGTCGTCTAAGAGAAGTAGGACTCCGTGCACGACGACCTTATGTTGGAGCTATCCTCAGGGATCATCACCGTCAGCGGCGTTTGATATGGGCTCAAGGACACCAGACATGGAGAAGAGTAGACTGGCAAAGTGTGCTCTTCAGTGATGAGAGTCGCTTTCATCTTTATCACGCTGATGGCCGTCAACGTGTGTGGAGACGTCTTGCAGACTGCTGCGTCTTCGAAACGAATCGATGGGGTGGGGGAAGTGTAATGGTGTGGGGAGGCTTCACATTTCATCACCGGACCGCCCTACACAGGGGTCGCGTTAATGCTGTAACCTACCGTGATGATGGCCCGTGGAGGACAAACGCGCTACTGACATCTGTGTCGTACTTTTGGTTTTGACCCCTCTGACTTTGTACCCTTGATTACAGATTAAAAAGCCATAAGTGTACAAATGTGTTGTTATTGATGTGTTCCCATTTGAATATTATTATTCACAATAAGAAGCAAAATAAATAAGATATGTTTACAGGATCATTTTGTTGTACGAAAAACTAAGTGATGCGTTTTCCATGGCGCTCAGTATATATTCAGTGCTACTCTAAAAATATACATATAGTATCACCTTTTATGTCCCCCAATTTTCGATGGCTCTTTTTTATCAGATAAAAGGATTAAAAGAAAAATAAAATGGGGTCATGTGGATAGGGGGTAGGGGATTTCGTCCATACAGAGCCGCTACAGCCTACTCGTATTTCGAATTCCAACTTCCAATGGTTCATGTACAGGCATGTCAACATATGGACGGGGCCTCTGATTTATTCGTCGAATCCGCTCACCTAGAACATTGTCGGCCAATACGGGGGAATCGACACTGGCGCACCCTGGTTGAACCACCAGTGCTGTGCAACCGCTCCCCCACTGCAACAAAAGCATCTGCACATATTAAATGAATCAATGATACTTACTGCTATAAGTTCCACCCCAAGCTACAAGAAGATAGTATGCCTCGGAAAGGTCAAAGTTCAGGTTTGGTGCCTGGTACAGAGTTGCGTTTTTATTTCTGGTAAATCGACAGGATATCTTTCCATTCACGAAACGGGTTTGAACATTGGTAAAACCTCTCTATTAAATGAATTATGTATAAGATAAAACCCTGATATTACTGAGAACTTATTTTTAAGTCTAAAATTAGCTAATGTTTTCAAGTATATTTCAAGCTATGTAGTCGGTAAAATAATGACAGATTGCTCCGATTTCTTATCTGTTAATGGCAATATTGATTAAAGGTGGATACTTAAGAATTGCTATAATTATTGGTGCACAACACCACATACCCAATCTGATTAAAATACTGGGCCCGTATTCACGAAAACTTAAACTAAGTTACAACCGAAATTATAAGAACTACTGCAACTTCATTGGATATATGCAAATTGATTTTACTGGTCAGCCAATCGAATTGCAGTATTTCTTAAAATTTCGATTTATCTTAGTTTAAGTTTTCGTGAATAAGGGCCCAGATCTATATTTCGTTCCGTGTTAATCAGATCACCATATGCCTTAAAGGGACAATAACACTCTTGCTGGCTTGACAGCTCCAGAAAATAAAAAATAGCCTTATTCTAAGTACTAGATGTGTTAGTGTCCTACCTGTTGTGTAAATTATCTATTAAATCCTACTTTACTTGTCCAGAGGGTTCAAAAATATTTTCAAATCTAAGTAACATTTGAAAAGCTTTACGTCAGGCTTTTCAAATTATTTAGTTGAATTTTTCCAATTTTTTAAATTAGGTGTGTTAAGATAAAATTTGTATCATCAATTAATTGGAATATTGTATAATAGTACAATTTGTTGACCAGAATAAAGATGGGACATATTATTCAGTTACAACAAGAGTGGTATTGAGCCTTTAACTCGTCAGATTTCAAACACAAACAGGGTCTAAGATTGATCCTACATGATGACTTGTGTTAACATTATACCACTTTCACCTTTGACTTGAATTGACTCATCATATTTTATATATTTTAACTGTTTGATGAAGACTAGTCTCTCATTAATAAACAGTAATTTTACAAACTTATGAAGTGAAAAGTAAATTACATATATTAGGAATGGGAGTGCAGAAATTCGTGTATGTTTATTTAGTTTTGTATGTTGTCCCTTAAATCAATGTTAACGAAACGAAAATGAAATGGGGGTTTACGTATTACGCTCCGACTGGAACAATATTAATTAATTAGATAATCATACTCTGTCAATCTGTATCTAAAATGAAATGAAATAGGGTTTAACGCCCAAAGTTTCGGCGCCGAGTATGGGCTAATGAATATGGGCATAAGCCATACAGTGTGCTATTGGGGATATCTGGCTCGGACAGCGGTCGCTGCGGTTCTTATATCTGTAGATGGGTACTTTTACGTACACGGCAACGACAAGACGCTGTGTCCTCGTCAGGCTCTATGCCAAGGGAAAACCACACTGTCTCTACCAACATGGTAAGTGAGCCAGCGACTTACACATTAAGCCACCGCGGCTTTCCTAAAATTAACTATCATAGTTACAGACTCTTCTCAGGTGCACATCTAGCTGTTTATTTCTTGGTAATTTGATACTTACCGTATAGTCAAATTGTGAATATTGACCAGGATTGTAACCCAATTTAACACCAACTGTATCAGAACCAACTGAACAGAAGAATACCACATCTTCTCCCTGATGATATTAAAGCATATTATTCTTTTTTTTTATTAAAGACAAAGTAACCAAAACGAGTGGATAAAATTACATCTGTTTAATTTAATACAATGGACTAGGCAAGAAGTTCCGGACTTTATGTGGTTGTACGTGGCAAGGAGTAGTGTCGCCTGTCCAGCGTCGTGGGTTTTCTCCGGGTCCTGCGGTTTCGTCTCACTGCTAAAGACCTCTACGCGCAAGCGAATTATTGAAATAAAATTGAATCATATGTTAGTCCCGAAATGACCTAGTCTGTGTCGAGTGGACGTTAAACACACACACACACTCTCTCTCTCTCCGGGGTTCAACGTCACATTTCTTGCATCAACCGGGATAAAACACAGATCAATACATACCATAGCTTTATCTTTAGACAGCCCAGCAGCAATATAACCAGCACCGTTATTTGCATCTCCAATTAATTCAATAGTATAAGTGTCGTCTTTATTATCCATATAAGTTACAGCCACTGCACAGTCATCCCCCGTACAGGTTTTTGGGTGGTAAAAACAGCCCTTAGTTTGACCGCAGTTATTAAAGTTTATTGGTGTAAATTCTGCTGGTATAGTAGGTATCTGTAAAAATATTCAGATGTTGTGTAAGTGTACTATAGTATCCGTAAAGCATTATATAATACAATGAATAATTGAAGTTTTCTGTGTAAATATTTATAAATATTATGTATTATATAGTATATGGCCTTTTCGTGTATGCTACCCGATACTGTTTATAATCCATTGCCAGGGAAATCTATTATTCTAGGAATGTATATTATGTATGGTTATAAAGTTAATTTTTTGTATACATTATTAATATCTGAAGACGCCTATAAAGAGCAGACAGCTAGCATATATGAATTTACTTGGACGTATTTTTTTTAATTTATTTATGTATATATTTTTATGTATTTATGTATTCCTTTAAAGTGGAGGCTAGAGATAATTAGTTCCCAAATACTAATATCCTATTGTTAGTTTTAATCCTTTAACTCTCAATTTCGCAGGAAGAAGTATGGCGTCTTTGGATTTCGGGCTATTACGGTCACAAACGACTTTATACATAATAACCTAATAATAACCTTATCAGCATATTATAGTTTCCATTTTCGATCTCTATTATTTTCGATTTCTATTATTTGGGCGCTATATCGGCACTCAAGGCGTGCAACATTAAAAGGCAAAACATTTTATATAAATCACACATACTGAGGTCAATAGAAGAACATTTGTAGGTGATATCAGGTGTTCAGATAGTTCAAATTTAATTGATCAAAGAAATAAAACATGCTGTTTTCGCACTAGTTTTTTTTAAGCAAAACAGTTCAACTTTTTGTCGTTTTTAGTTGTATGTGTGTGGAATGAAAACGGGCGATTTTTCTCACGATGACGGCCATAAGAGGGATTTTAGCTACCCAGCATAATATGCATGTTTCATTCACAAAATCCATCTTACTCTACTGAGGAATTTATCAGTTAAGCTGTAAATATCTATAGCGCGATTCGTTCGCCTTTAACGAGTCAAGGGCTCGTCTTAAAATTAAGTGTGTGAACCTATTTTAAGTCATCCATTGCAGCTTGCGAGAAACTTTGCCTTTCAATGCAAGTTCTACCTGAAGTATATGATTTTTCTTTTGTCGATGTCGACGCGAAAAGTACATAAATTCTGTTATTATAACATTCTTTCCCATTGATACTTCTAGAGAGGTAAATTACATAAGACAGATTTCTTTGTATGTCGCTCTCTCAAAATCTATTATTATACATATTTGTACTTTTCTAGAAGACATATCTATTCATGCGTTCATTCAATTAAAAGTTATATGACATATATCACGCATGATGAAAATGAATTGAAATGGGGTAAGGGCCTACTTTTCTACACTGACTCGGATTAAGAAACTGTACATCATGCAGTTAGCTGCAATATTTGAGCCGTGATAATTCTTATTCACAGCTACAATTGATAAACTATTTGAGGCTTTGAGCAAATAAAATTAGGTTTAATTGTAAAAATTTTTAGCACATATCACCACAGTTTGCAATGAAATAAGTAATTATGTTACAAACAGTGAAGAGTTGGCCACTGAAGTCTTAATCTTATCTTTCCGAACAGTTTTTCTGTATTTTGGCGTGACATGATATCACGTGATTGTGGTTCGGCGGCCATATTAAAATGAACAGAAATTTCGCATAGCAATTGGGTTTAATCAAATCATATAATTATTCGGCAAGGTTTCACCTTTATTTCAAGCTATGTTAAGCTATGTACAGTACAGTTTGAGGTCAGTGTATTTGGAAATTAAGGGGGTTATAGGCCAGTAACTTTTTTGTAGTCATTTGACTACAAAACATGCCCAAAGCTGGGCCTTTGATGGCCCACCGCTGTGGCTGGAGCAGGTTACTATTTATAGAAATGATATAATGGGGAAAAATGATGGGGGAACTGCAATATTTGAGTTTACATATCTAACACAATTTTGGGACTACATTCTTATAAATGTCATTTACTTATGTATATAGCTTCTAAAATCCAAACCCAAATCTCCACTTACGTTATAAACGAGATTTTCGCATAACCTAATCTATCACTTTAAAAACAACTGCCGCCTTATTACGATAGTATTAATGTCAATTATTTTAAACCCACCTGGAATACAGGATCAACAATATTATTGTTAGAAGCAGGTTGAACAACAGTCTTAACATTAAACCAAAATACGCTAAAGCTCTCAACAATTGTTGCCCTGGAAAGGAATATATTAATGTTATGGTACGTTATAGATACTATGAATCATCAATATGCCATAGCATGCCAATTTTATGTTTTGTTTTATGTTAATGTTTTTATTGCTTTCACCCTAATATACATTCTAGTGAATACCTCAATCGATAACAATGGCATTTAATACATCAGGATACATACGTGAACTGAATAGCTCCTATATTCTGACCCGGTGCCCGCCATTTTATTGTCAATGACGTCACGGCGTCGCTGTTATTGTGTGTTATTAAATTCTGTGAATAGAAATAAAAATGATCATATATCTATGTGGTTTACAAATGAACAAAGATTCATTTAAACGGCTAAAGTTCTTACTCAATATTATCCAGACACGATTTATTAGTCGATGTTGTTATCTTACCTGACAATATAGGATACTTATAATTATTATACATACACCATTTAAGACACAGTGAACATTTTTAAATCAGTCGACAAGGACGTGTACTCTCATACTTCTGAAGCAATGGCCCGAGAAATCCCTCTCTGGCCATTACTGGATTGGCTTCTGATACTTGAGTTTTGGAGGGAGTCTATCCCAAGTACAGCAACATGACAGCACTTCGTTTAATCTGGGGTCTTCCCTAAAACTTTGGACAATGATTTAAGGTATTAAAAACAGTGAAAGTAATGTTCGTCGCCATACAGTATTGCTACATTGTATCCATGTTGATAGCCTCGTTTGTCACACAATTTGTTCTCTGCAATATTCTGCTATGCACTGGTTAATTGGGCATAATAAAATCGTGAGGCATGACGTAACGTTATGTAAACATATTTGATCCAATTTGGAGCTCTGTTTAAAGCGTAATGATACTGTTACGCAGTTAGCTATTGGTTGTTAATCGGACTATTGGCCAGTCATAATTTGGAACAGAAGTTTGCTTCCTTTACAGCAGTGGTAAGTGGGTTTAGGTATAATCAAACGAAACAATGCGAGGAGTATAGTGTACTCCATGCTCTCAGTGCCATTTGTAATCGGGCAAAATGTCAGTGGTTAAGTAAACCGAAATAACCAGCTATGTCCGACTGAGATACAATTTGGACGTATTTCGACTGAAAAGAAATAACAATTAAGTTTTAAAAAAAATTAAATCAGTTTACATATACTAATAATACATGCGATATGTAATTTTTGAACAATTTTCGTAAATTTTAGGTTCCAAAAAATAGGAATTTAGTTCCTTTAATGTATACTTTTGACACATTTTCGTCCATTTTAAGAATCAACCCTTATACCTTTTGTCCACCAAAGCAGTCATTCGTTTTCAGTTTAATTTCATCAAACTCTGTAAATTGTCCTTCAGGAACTTCTTGATTGCCATCAACTCTGTGAACCTTTATTTCTATCCCTTTAAACTCTTTATTATTTGTCGATCCAATCGTAACTAAAAATAATAGAAAACGTAAAACATAGGTCCCCAAGACACGTAACGTAAGCTATGATCGTATAACCATACGACAATCCTATTGCGTTTCGTTTTTATAGTTAAAAATTTAGTTTTACTACATTACACTAAGACCTTGAAGAGTTGTTATATAACCCGCGTTCTGGTTGATGTGAGGGATTGGCCAATGAAACGGCCTGTTGCGGCGAGTTCTTGACATGCGGTGCACTGAACTGTAGGTATCTCACTAGTAACATCAATGCTGATTGGTTAATCAAATTAGTGGAGGCGATCGAAAGTATAAAACAACGAAACGACCTGTATTTTAACCGCCAAAGGTCTCTTTCTTACCCAATAACAATTCAGCTAACAGTTTTCCAGGCTATCTCTAAATATGGCTCGGGTGCAGATTATGAAAAACACCGTAGAAAACCAAATTTTATCATTTCAGTGCGATAGACAAACATATTAATTTCAAATACACATCAATGAGTATCTTACTGGTAAGTTCATCAAGGGGCTGTTGGTTCGTTTGATCTACAGTTATAGTAAAATGTGTATCTTATAAGGTGGCTGATAGTTTGACTATCAGTTATTGTTCATCAGAAGGTTGGTAGTTTGATTAACAAAATGAAATGGGGTTTAACGTCCTACTGTTCTGCTCCGAACTGGGCTAATGAAGACGGGCATACGCCATACTGTGTGCTATGAGGTAAATTTTGCCAGGATAGCGCCATTACGACCTACTCTTATATCGAATTCAAACTGTCAAGGGATCTTTCACGTGCACGCCAATGCGTACACAGGACCTCGTTTTTTCGTCCCATCCGAACGACTAGACAGTTGTCCTTGTCAGGTCCTGCATCACTGACAAGGGGAACCACGCCGGAAAATCTGGATGAACTTTCTCGGCCAATGCAGGGATTTAACACCCGACCTCCAGGCTAGCGAGCCAGCGTCTTACCCACTTAGCCACCGTGATCCCCCAGTTTGATTAACAGTTTAGTAACATGTGTATAGTACATCATCTGGCTGTTAGGTAGTTTGATTACAAATAGTTACAAATGCTGTATCTTACTTTTAAGTTCACCATCAGGCTGATAGTTTGATTAACATTAGTGATAAAATGTGTATCTTACTTGTAAGTTCTTCAGAAGGCTGATAGTTTTAGGGGGATCACGTGGCGTGGTTTCCCCCTTGTCAGTGATGCAGGACGGAGGGCCTGACAAGGATAGCTGTCTAGTTGTGCGGATGAGACGAAAAACCGAGGTCCCGTGTATATATTGGAATGCACGTAAAAGATCCTCTGGCAGTTGTAATTCGATATAAGAGTAGGCGATATTGCCGGTGCCCGGGCAAAATTTCCCTCATAACACACTGTATGGCGTATGCCAGTCTTCATTAGCCCAGTATAGGAGCAGAACAGTAGGACGTTAAACCCCATTTCATTTCTGATAGTTTTATTAACATTAGTTATAAAATGTGTATCTTACTTGTAAGCTCGTCAGAAGGCTGATATGTAGTTTTATCAACAGCAAAAGTAAAAGGTGTAGCTGATGTTTGATGGACAGTTGATTGATGATGCGGATACAAAGTTAAACATGTTGAGGCAGGAGCACCATTTGGATAGCAGGTACCTGAAATAAAAGTTTAATGAAAGTCTCCATGTGTAGCCTACCGAACTAACCTTGTAATTATCAACAACAGATGGGGGATGTAAGATAATTTATAACCCAGTCCATGGCTATCAACAAAAAGAGGGGTCGTCTAAAGTATGGTGGTAATAACACCTGGTGTATTTATTATCAACAACAAGAGGGTGGTATAAAAAGGGTGCTATTACACCTGTTCTATTTATTATCAATAACAAATTGAAGGAATAAAGAAGGGTGGTAATAACACCCAGACTGTGTGCTCAATAACAAATTGAAGGATATAAAGCATGATGGTAATGGCACCCAGTCTATTTATTATCAATAACAATTTGAAGGGTATAATGTATGGTGGTAATAACACCCAGTCTATGTCTATGCCTCAAAAACATACCGACGAAAATTACTAAATCATGTATATCTGAAATTTCCCCGGCCATAGCCGACATTGTGAACAGCTGTATTGAAATAGGTAGAGTTCCAGTTCAAATGAAACTAGCTTTAGTAAATCCGCTTCTGAAGAAACCATCATCAGATCCAGATGAACTTAAAAACTATAGGACAGTGTTCAATCTCTCATTCATATCCAAAATTATGGAAGACGTTGTTGCTGAACAAATGATCTGTCATCTACGTTGCAACAATTTGATAGAGCCTTGGCAATCCGCCTACAAGTCCAAACACAGTACTGAGACAGCCTTAATGAGAGAACAACATGGTATCCTTAGGGAAATGGATGCCAATAAAAGTGAATTTCTTGTTTTACTGTATCTTAGTGCAGCAGCCGACACCCTTGAGCATCAAAGTGTGTTAAGACGACTTTCAGCAGAATTTGGCATCACAGAAACAGCTCTATCATGGATTACATCTTACCCAGTGGGCGATTCCAAACTGTGGTAGTTGGCGGACATAGTTCTAAACCAAATGCCGTGAAGTACGGGGTACCACAAGGTTCGGTCTTAGTTCCCCATGCTATTCGTTCCTTGGTGTTACCACACGCCACAATAACCAGAAGTACCAGCTATATGATGACGATACGCAGCTTTACATAGGTTTCAAGCATTCCAATGGGGAAGACGAGATTGGTAGACTGGAAAAGTGTTTGTCAGAAATCCGATACTTGATGAAGACAAATAAGCTGAAGTTAAATGATGACATGATCGAATTACATAAAATTGGAAGTAAATACCATGTCAGCAAAACAAAAAACAATTGTTTGAAAATTAGTGACACTGCAGTTGAAGTCTGTACGAAATTTGGGCGTACAATTTTTGCGAAAAAAACGCAATTTTATTGACAGCCAACAGCGAAGATGCTAGTTAACATCCAGAATCGACTATTGCAACTCACTCCTATATAATTCTCCCAATTATCAAATTGGCCGTTTGCAGAAACTACAAATAAAGCTGCTAGGATAGTTACTAGGTCGAAGTCATCTGAGAATAACAGTCCAATTTTGAAAGAACTTCACTGGCTCTCAATCAATTACAGCATCGAATTCAATATTTTATCCACGACCTATTCAACTCTAAACAGCGAATTTGTCCCAGAATACCTAGAACATCTCCCGATCCCATATACTCCATCCAGATCCCTGTGATCATCTTCAAGTAACCTACTTGTTAAAAAAAAATAAGACAATCGCAGGGACAAGAGCCTTTAGCTATGCTACTCCTGAATTATGGAATAGTTTAAGTGGATCTCTGAAAAATGCATCATCATTAACTACGTTTCGAAAAAACCTTAAGACCGTCATTTTCCAGAGTGCCTTCAAGTGTTGATTTATATATTGAGTGTTTTATATGTGCTACATTGAAGGAAATGGAGTAGGGTTTAAAGTACGATTATTGTAGCCTAATTCTCAGTCTGGTTCTCTTATAAGATATGGTCTTTAGTGAGGCTCAGTTGTGTATTGCAGAATTTCTACTCCATAGTTCTTCTCGGAGACATTGGAGGTGATTGAGAAACTGTGGTGGCACCCGTGAACAGAGTCATCGGCGCCATGGAGTAATGGAGGGAGTGGGGTGGAGATCTGTGTGAATCTGGAGGGAATGGAGAGGATGTAGCCTTGGCTGGCCCATGGTGATGCAATTTTTGCTGGCTGGCTAATTCTTACCCGACTGCATCTTCACAATCATGCCAATAGGATTCTGGGGAGACATACTGGAACTGGAACTTTAGTGGAACTGGTCTGGAGATGTCGACTCCTTAGGGTGTCGACTCATGGACGTCTTGAGTCGAAGAGCGTATACATGGATCAGCGAAAACACGCCATGTAACCGGTTGCAGCACGCTTGGCATATGTTTGGAATTCGTTTGCCATTTGCAACGTACGCTCAGCATTCCTTGGATAGACACTATGCATGCCATGGACGCATTCGTTCTATGCTCAACATTCGTCTTATACCTCAGACGTCCACCAAAAAGAAGATGTAAGTCAATAATTCGACCGTACAAAATCATACTTTCTATTTCGCGAGTATTCGCATCATTAGACTTGATCTATAGGAATAAAGCGATTTAAGCTTGGCGGGCATATTCAGTAAAATGTATTCTTATGCAAATAGGTCAACACCAAACGAAGTTTTGTAAATAGAATGTTTGACCTTTTTAATAAAGAACCTCGCACCAGTATCTCTTAGCTGTCGGGATCATATTTACTGCATGATAAGCCTTCGTGCATCAATGGGTTATCGTATGAATTATGTGTAAAATCGTGTATTGATACCACAGTTAGCTTGTATCATTGCAAGGCCTGTAAATAGTTTGTCCGTATGTTAAGTACATCATATCTGAATTAAATTTGTACTCGGTGGATATATGTTAAATAATAGTTTAAAGGCATCAGCCAACTTTATTGTACACACAGTTGCGTACATACAGGTGTCTATTGTACGGGCAAAAAGGTAAAACCTCTCCAACCGATATGGGCCCAGCAACTATTATTTATCAGATCTACGATACTTTAAATCTCTCCAGCTCCAAATTCACAAAGCATTCTTAGACTTAAGTTAAGAATTTACTCAAAATTGTTCGCCTTATTTGAACTAAAATATAGCCCTTTATAAAACTTTTGTTGTTTTAATGTATCAAATACATCAATAAGAAACTATGTGCAAAGTTCTGTGTTTCTGGATCAAAGATATCTCTCATAAACAATGATTGAAAGTTGAGTAAATTTGTTAACTTAAGTATGAGAATGCTTTGTGATCTCGGGGCCTGGGGCCTGTTTCACGAAATTTTAACTATGATAAAATCCAAATTTTAGTAATTTGATTGGATAATATTAGACTGATTGTAGTGCTTAGCCAATCAAAATTGAAGTATCTACTAAAATTTGGATTTTATTTTTAGTTAAAAATTTCGTGAAACAGGACCCTGGTCTTTCAAACCTCTACTACTTAAAAAATAAAGAAATAACAAACAAACAAACGGTAATAATATCATAATTTTATGAACTATATCATGTATTCATTTATTTATAACGTCCTATCTCTCTGCGCCGACTGGGATAATAAAGGTTGGCATACACTATGCTTTGAAAGACATGCCCCGATGGCGCCGTTTTCACCTCTTCGAAAACTTACTCGAACCTGGGACCGCCTGGCTGGTGAACCAATGTATTACACACTGAGGTACCATGGCTGCCTCTTTGATATAGGAATATCTAATGTAAGTGTTAAGGAACTGTACTTTTGGGATTTATTTATTAAACTTGGTTCTTTGTTGTTAAAGTGTGAAATAATTGTGACTGCGTTTTTATATCAATGTTAATGTAATTAAAATTATATCTTTATTTCCTTTCGTTTTTATGATTCTAATTTTCTAATACGGAGTTCGGTAAACTATAAAAAATGGAAAGTAAAACGAAAAAAAGGGAACCAGAATTGCGGCAATGCTTGTTTAAGATGCATCGTTTTATCAATTTGTCGTGAAGGTACGTGTAATTTAAAAATGACACCTAGTAGAAAACCTGATTGACTGTGGATTTTTCTGCGTCTGGATACATGATAATCTTTTGTATTAGCCGAAAAGAACAGTATTGACAGGTGGGCGTCCGTCATTATTGCTGTTTGTTTTGGGGGTTAAGCCAAATTCTGATAAAGCCCCCTCTTTTATAAGCAATGCCTATTTATCTAACTCGGATTTCAACCGCTGTTTGTTGGATTTTTGTATTGTAAATAAGAATTTGATATTCATGATAATGGTGTTAATAACATAAAGTGTATTTAATCCCATGTATTCTTCAATATTAAAGTGGTTATTACTATGGGGTATATTTTAAGAGCTTCTTCTTGTCTGTCTTGGTAAACCTTTTCTATAGAAGTATCAGATTTGATTCACTGTCTGGTGTTCATATATTTACTGTGTTGTTGATCAGTGATTCTACAGTGTCTAAGGGAAATGAACAACGTAATCAGAAATGAAAAGTAACACCATCCACAGGATTCGCAAACGACCTTACATCGTGTCAAATATCGTGTGTTTTCTCCAGGTCCTCCGGTTTCTTCCAACAACTGAAGTCTCTCTCTCTCTCTCTCTCTCCCAAAAACGTCCACTCGTTTCGATTACCGACAACTTTACTTCGTGTCCAATAAAAGCCCGGGGTTGATATACCAGAACTCGAATCGATGACAATCCCCATTTAACCTTGAAGGAACGTAACAGTCATGTCTGTGACAAAGCAAAATAACCAGTGACACAATAATATATTTTGAAAAGCCAGTGACACAGCACAAACTCTAAAAATACCCGTTTCAACAAATCCCTTAAGCAAACAATATCTATTCCAACAAAGATTAGCGATTCAATGGCCTTACATATTAAAGGAGCTAAACCTGTAACTCAATATTTTCCATAATATTTAAAGTTAAAATTTTATATTTTTAAGTTATATTTTTAAAATGTATTAAAATAAAGCCCTAAAATAGATGGTATCTATAAACAGTCCTACCTTGTTAAAGAATAATCCTATTAATCCTATAATTAACTATTGCCAGTTGAGAAATTGGCATGAATATAATTTTCAACTTCAAATTCAAACGTTTGAAGATAGCTATTCCATGGTGGGGAATAGGAAAACAAGGGAGGTAATTGGGAGGTAATTGTGTTATTATTTCCGGTGTGAAGATTTTTAAGTGTGAGAAAGATAACCTATGATCGTATAATAGTGAGTTGGCAAAAGACATAGAAATAATTATGTTTTGACTTTCTTAGAAAATATGAAATTGTAACTTTAAAATAAAAAACACGAATTAGAATTTGAAAAAAAAAAGTTTTGGACCTTGTTTCTCGAAATCTTAAAGATACATTATGGGAGATTCGATAACGAGTTGGCAGTTCTCACTATAATAATTAAAAACTAGATGACGTAGAGGCAAGTTGCTGAAAATTTCATTCAAATTGATCCACTATGAACCGAGAACTAAGCGAATAAAATTTCTGCCTAGCCTCGGTCATCATTACTAAAGTCAGTACGTTAAACAGCATAGTCTCGATTATCCATTTAATCGTTTAATCGAGATGGAAAGTTATGCAGTAAAGCGGATCACAATCCACTTAAGATCGCAGGCTAGCGATGCCATCTAGAGTTGATTATGGTCTGGATAGGGTAACTAATGTCTAATTATTAATTTAGGAAACATTTCAGGCCTAAAGAAAGACCTGCAATAGGCAGATTTAGCTCTTGCATAATGTATGTTTAACTGACGATAAAATCCAAATTTTAGTAGATACTTCAAGTTTGATTGGCTAAGCACTAAAATCAATATAATATTATCCAATCAAATTTCTAAAATTTGGATTTTATCTTCGTTAAAATTTCATGAAGCAGGCCCAATGTCTTACAAAGAGAGAACAACTATATACCCGTACTCTAATATCGACACATTAATAATAATACAAATACAATACCTGTACTCTAATATCGACACATTAACAATAATATAATACAACTACAATACCTGTACTGTAATGTCGACACATTAACTAATAGAAATACAAATACAATAACTGTACTCTAATATCGACACATTAACTAATAGAAATAAATTCATTGTATAGAAATCAGGTCAAAAGTAAATTTATTTCTTACCGATTAGCCGCAATTGATAGCTAGAAAGATCATATAATAACTTTATGAAGCATTCAAAATTAAATAACTGTTTGAAATAATTCTGCAACAAAACCATTAGAGATGTGGATAACAAAATCGTCGATGAAAGATATGTTCAACATCGCACGTAAAAGATCCCTTGACAGTTGGAATTCGATGTAAGAGTAGGCCGTAGTGCCGCTGTCCGGGCAAAATCTCCCTGTTCAATCCCTGCATTAGCCGAGAAAGTTCAACCAGATTTTCCGGCGTGGTTTCCCCTTGTCAGTGATGCAGGACGGAGGTCCTGACAAGGACAGCTGTCTAGTTGTTCGCATGGGACGAAAATCCGAGATCCCGTGTACACATTGGCGTGCACGTAAAAGATCCTTGGCAGTTGGAATTCTATATAAGAGTAGGCCGTAGCGCCGCTGCCCGGGCAAAATCTCCCTCATAGCACACTGTATGGCGTATGCCCGTCTTCATTTTCCCAGTTTAGGAGCAGAACAGTAGGACGTTAAACTCCATTTCATTTCATTTCATTTAGGTCCGTCTTCATTAGCCCTGCAGTTCAGAGCAACACAATAGGATGTTACACCCTATTTCATTTCAATTCATGTTCAACATCGCCCCTTTATAAACTTAGATTGGGTAAGAGAATGACTGACTTACCTTTCTTCACATAAATAACCAAGCAAAAACACAAAACAGGAAAGATCCTCATCATGAACAATATGTCAGTAATTTTTCTCTAAAAGTAGTCTTATATTTAAAAATTAAAACAATTTCTGGTAACTTGGTGTATATGCAATTGCCAGATGACTGTTATCGACGTCCGCGTGTTACGAACTACTTCTTGTTTATTTATCATAGCTCAATATAAAAAGAAGGCCAAAGAGCCTTAATCTCTACCTTCGGTTAAAAATATAGTGCAGGATAACTATACAATGCATGCACATTTTATATGCTTTAAAGATTTTACAGATTGTTTATTATCTAAACGTACATTTTTGTAGTTATTTAAAATATTTAGTGAAGACATTAAAACAAGCGTCCAAACTGAATTAGAAATGTGCGTTAAAGACTGTATAATCTTCTTCAATAGAATAGAAATAAGATATTATGGTTTTATCAACGACGTCATTCACTTTCAGTCAGTACAGAGCGGGCAAGAAATTTAATGATGTATTCTGTTGGGTGAGCAGACAGGATATTTAATGATGTTCTAATACGTGCGCTTTATAGTTCATAAAGTCAAGTGGCATGTTTTCCATCCAGAACTCCTGGCCGTTTTCCGGTGGAGATTTGGTCACAAATATACAATAACAACATTTGGCAAGTATCATGCAATGCGTCTATTCAGAATAACATAGCAACCTGACGTTTCTTTTGCTGTTTAATATACACATCAATCCTCATCTAATGGGCTGGGATGGCCTAGTGGTCGTGGTTTCCATCCCTGGTGTGAGTGTATTTGACTTAAAGATATGGGCGCCTTCTCGTGGAAAGGCCGTTGGGCATGGGCTAAATTAACTTCAATAACGATTTGTCCGCGATATCACTATCAGTGGAAGTGGGCGTTAAATCTCCAAACAACAGCACATCTTGGTTTTTTTTGGTTTTTTTTTATTAAGTATAAATATTAAAACAGAAGAACACATAGAGGTTCTCATTTGAGAACCATGGTTACATAATTTAAATGTACATAGAAAACACGAAGACAGAGATGAACAACGGAAGTGACGTGGTGACACGGGCAGATGAAGATATTGTTGGTCTGTGAATTTTAAACTCTGATAATTTAACCATTTCATCAGTTATAATCGGTGCTTCTGTGTGCTTGCCGATAACATCAGTTCCTGAAATTATTTAAAATGAAATGGAATGGTTGTTTAAAGTCTTACTTTTCAGCAGCAGCTGAGTTAATAAAGACGGGCATTCGTCATACAATGTATTATGATGTAAATTTCGCCCGGGCATTGTATACACAGGACGTCGGCTTTTCGTCCCATTAGAGCGCCTAAACACCCTAGCCCTCATTCTTTCTCCACTGATCTATTGTAACCATGCTGGAAATTCCTAAGGATCATTCTCGATCAACACGGGTATATAATCCGGAACTGTGTGGTTAGTAAGACAGCGCCTTTCTCAGACATGTATGTTCTGGGACAATTGTCTTAATTTGTTCAATATTTGACAAACGAAACGGGTATGTTACTGGTATTGAGAACTGAAATGAAATTTGGCTAAGCGTCCTACTTTTCTGCACCCACCGAGCTATAATATATCATGCAGTGTGTTATGAGGGACATTTTGCCCCAACAGTGGTGTTTTCGTCTTCGAAACGGGTTCTGTCACGTACATTGCCACGTTTACACGGGACTTCGGTATCATATAAAGATACGCTGGAAAATCACGAGGGACGTTGTAGACCAACACCAAGACAGAACCCAGGACGTCCTTTAGTGAGCCAGAGCACTACTGACCAACGATCTTTGCTCCATGTAGTACGAGTTCAGACTATTTATGTATATAGTAATATCACAGATATCAAACGGGATTTAATACTTTTGATACTCGGTGATTGGAATGGATGCAGGGGTGTTGATTTTAAACGGTGTTCATTAATTTGGGGATTGTTAAATTCGATTCCGTGGCCAAAATACTACGTTGGTTGAAAAGGGACACCCAACGATATTATTGAAAGTTTTTATAACGGACTTGAAAAGACATGTATAAAGAATTTAAAATATTACCTATAAATGTATACCCCCATGCCATTTGTAGATACCATGGTTCTGTTAAGTTAAACCATTTTCTACCCATTAACATTGACGTAAATTTAGGTCGAGTAAAACGACATAATATTTTACCATCAGCTTGACGGATCTGAATATCAGAAAAACCTTTCTGAAAAATAAATAATTAATAATGATCCAAAGTATGAACCGGTCGAGAATCCGAAATACAATGACACTTTCTGTCCGACTGTCATCTGACGAATCACGACATATGTTTAAGCGAAGTAATCAAACAGTGGTAACTGGTCAGCAATAATTGAAATATCAAAAAAGTGTCAAGATCTCGCTGTCTTTTCCGCAATCCGAAAGACAGTGACACTGTTTGAACCTTGTCTGGCGAATCGTGACAGATTTTCAAACCGAATTAATCAAGGTTACACAAGCTGCGTTCACACTCCATGCGCATTCAATGCGATTTCCGGAGACCGGAATTCGGATTGGTTTTTCCCGCTTTAAAAGCGGTGCGTCACATTACAGTTTATTCGGATTGAATTCAGAATGAAAAGCGCCACACTGAATGCGCAGTGAAGGTCATTCATATGCAAAATGGATGCGCCAGACATTCGTATTGGTGATCGTATGTTGCTTATGTTTAATTTCCTGAGGCAAGCAAGGCTACATCACGACGCCGGGTCTTACATCTTCGACGCCTTGCCATGTAGCACCGAACACGATTTCGTTGGCACCAAAATGAAATGCGAATGAGGATGATTACTCTTTTGGTAGCGTTTACTATACATCAACACGTATGTACATGTACTTCACTCTTGACTCTGTACTAGCGAAGATACATTTCATAATTGAAATGTTATGAAATGGGGTTAAACTTCCTACTGTTCTGGTCCGACTGGGCTTATAAAGACGGGCATAGATCATTTTCCTAGGACAGCGGCGCTACGGCATACGCTTTTATCGAATTCCAACTATCAAGTGATTTTTTACGTCCACGTCAATGTGTACACGAGAACTCTGTCTTTCGTCCCATCCGAATGACAACACAGCTGTCCTTGTCAAACCCTCCGTCCTGCAACAGTGACATAGGGAAAATACGCAGGAAAATCACAATGAACGTTTTCGGTCAACACCGATAGAGAACCCTCAACCACCAGACTACTGAGCCAGCTTCTTGCTCATTGAACTATCGTGACTCCCATTTCATAATTCAAATCCTTTCAGCACTAAACCTACATAATGTAAAGCTATACATTTTGTTGTTATTTTATCCAGCTATATGTAATACATGCTAGAGGCTAGACTCCACTAAACTCGAGACGACTAAAGCTTACCTGCCCTGCCCCCAAGTTCTAGACCGTGAATGGCCAGCTGTGATCTGAATACACCTATCTTTGTACTTCAATTTTTATATGCCCACATTGAAATGTGGTCGTATATTGTGGTCGCCCCTGTCCGACGCGCTAGAGGCTAATGTTAATATCTGATTGACTTTAAATTTATGTACAGTATTTTAGGTCATGGATGAAGAAGCAGATTGAATTTGAACGATTTACGATAATTACTACCAGAGTTATGGCCCATGATATTTATGCACAGTGTTTAAACTTCATGGATGAAGAAGCCAATTGATTTTGAACGATTTACGATAATTACTGCCAGAGTTATGGGCCATGATATTAAATGTTAGTATAGGGCAGAACTCGTAATCAGAATTTAGTGTGTTGTAAATGTTTGCATTACTGACAAAAGGAAAAGTATGCCACAACCCTTTTTGACTCATCGGAGGAATTAGCTGCTAAGGGCGTGTGTTTCGTTGCCTGACAACCTATCATTAGCTGGTTATGTTACTGCAGCATTTGTTTCAATGACGAAGGGCTGCGGCTATGTAGGCTACATCCCAACATTCGTACAAAGTTATCGTTCCCGGTAAAACTGTTGATCTGAGTCAAGCGTGTCACACTCAAATCTTGACTGCGAATAACCCGATTCTGAATAATTGTTCCGGGTTGAATTCGGAAAAATATACGGATTCGTTAATTCAGATTCAGTTCGGTTTTTATCGAATTGAGTGTGACGCCAAAGTCCGGAATAAGACTTTATTCTGAATTCAATTCAGATTAAACCCCTAGTGTGAACGCAGCTACAGTGATCTTACAACTCATTAGATATTGACGCTCTGTCGTGTGTTCTAAATCAATAGATAAAGATATCACGGGCCTTACTGTCAATATATGAATATTCGACATTCATGTATGACGTCATTATAACAGTAGAAGGTAGGGAAAAAACCCGAATCGACAACGTTAAATGATAATAAAACTTTCACCAGCTCGCATACTGATTTGTTAACTTGGAACGTATTCGCATGCTGATAGTTCAACAAGACACGAACTGGCTTTCAACGTGTTAGCTCCCTTGAAATGAAACACACGATTGTCACTGTTAGGATTGAACATCGATTAGAGATAAAATATGGGAATTTTTCGCCAATAAACGGATGGGGAAAATAGAAACATCTGATAAAGCTATCCAAGAAAAAGTTTTCGGGATATTTAATTTGCTTGCTAATCTGTACGTAAAGGGGTATTAGAGCTGACAGTAAACGTTATGATAGTTAAATAATAGACAATGAGAACAAAATATACTGAGATTTCAGTCAAATTGCTTCACTCCGAACCAAGGTATTAGCGATTCAATTTTAGGAGAGCCTCGATCGTCATTCTACACCTTTGATACGATACTAAATTATCCCTTTTTTGCGTTAAATCATCCATCATAAAACGTATCCAAATCCACGATATATCGCAGGCTAACAGTGGCATCGAGAGTTGATTATGGTCTTAATAAGTTAATTAATGTCTAATTAATAATTTAGATAACATATCGGGACCCAAAAAAGACCTGCAATAGGCAGATTTAGCTCATGTGTAATACATGTTTAAGAAATTTTTCTTGCTTGAGACGGTAAATTAACATTATTTTGTTAACCCGAGTGGAATGGACAAGTGTAGTTTGAACTGTAATAAAATAGTAGAATTAGAACTAACAGTATATTGTCGATCTACATAATGTCCTGGGTTATAACCATGCTGTATTGTAACTCTACCACCATCAGCAGTACACAGGGCTGCTTCATCCTCACCCTATAAATATCATTAATAAAATTTGAATTTATAATAAAATAAATAGACCTGTATCGTTAATAAACTTAATAAAATGAATAGACCTATATCGTTTAAATAAAATGAATAGACTTATATCTTTAATTGACTTTATCAAATAAATAGAACTATATCGTTAATACACTTAATAAATAAATAAATAAATAAACGTAGATTGTTGATAAACTTGATCAAATTAATAGACCTATTTTTATTTTGCTAATAAACTTGATCAAATAAATAGCCCTATATTGTTGATAAACTTGATCAAATAAATAGACCTGTATTGTTGATAAACTTGATCAAATAAATAGACCTGTATTGTTGATAAACTTGATAAAATAAATAGTCGTATTTTGTAGATAAGCATAATGAAATAAATAAAACTTATAGATGTAGATTAGCCTAATAAAATAAACAGAACTATATTATAGTCAAACTTAATAAGATAAATAGACCTATATTGTAGATAGACATAATAAATACACCGATATTGCAGATAAAATTAATAAAATCAATAGATCTATATTGTTGGTAAATTTATGTTATTCATCTAAAAGGGGAGCCACGGTGGCTAGGTGGGTAAGGCGCTGGCTTGCTAGCCTGGAGAAAGTTCATCCCGATTTTCCGACGTGGTTTCCCCCTTGTCAGTGATGCAGGACGGAGGGCCTGACAAGGACAGCTGCCTAGTCCTTCGGATGAGACGAAAAACCGAGGTCCCGTGTAAACATTGGAATGCACGTAAAAGATCCCTTGGCAGTTGGATTTCGATATAAGAGTAGGCGATAGTGCCGCTGCCCGGGCAAAATTTCCCTCATAGAACACTGTATGGCGTATGCCCGTCTTCATTAGCCCAGTATAGGAGCAGAACAGTAGGACGTTAAACCCCATTTCATTTCATTTCATTTATTCATCCAAAAATTACAAGCAAAAGATACTTACCATCTTTTTATCTTTAGAAAACGCCACGGCAACATATCCCTCAGCTTTCGCCATTAATTCAAACGTATAAGAACCCTCAGTGTTTTTCATATATGTCATAGCAACATCACAGTTTTCTCCGGTACATGATTCCGGGTGAAAGAAACATCCCCGAGTTTTACCACAGTCTGACCATTGAATAGACGTAAAGATGTTACTGGTAGCTGGTAACTGAAAGCATGAGAGAAATGGGGGTTAACGTCCATTCAACACAAACTAGGTCATTTCGGGACTACATTTGGTACAATTTTATTCAATAATTAGCTTGCGCGTAGGGGTCTTTAGCAGTGGGGAGAAACCGCAGGACCCGTAGAAAATACACGAGGTAGGCAACTCAAAGATTCATACATAAGGATCTGAGAGAGAAAGGGAGAAATGGGGTTTAACGTCCACTCGGCACAAATTATGTCATTTCGGGACTAACATGTGGTTCAATTTTATTTCAATAATTCGCTTGTACGCAGGGGTCTTAAGCAGTGGGAGGAAACCGGAAGACCCGGAGAAAACCCACGAGGTTGTACCGGCGACCCTACTCCTTGTCAGGTACAACCGGGGAATCGAAACCACGCCAGTTAACCATAAGGATCTGATGATATGATTTAAATTCTATAAAATTATGTAATGTTTTCATATTCGATTACAATAATGGACTGCATATCAGGTGCAATTGAGGACGCTGCTGGATATTTATCAGTTTAATACTAAAATCACCAATAAGACATCGTCAACTCAATATTAAAGGCGCCAAATCTCTATTCATTGGCACCTAAAATGGAAGAAAATGGACCAACAAGCACTTATCAATATAATATGAGTGTACGTAAACGGATTTACATTTATTTTATTGTAATTTCTAATCAGTTTTATTCTTCGAAATAATTTCACTTCCGCATTGACACATATCCGCGTTGATCAAGGCGCCTCAATTCAGATCGCGCACGAAAGCATAGTGTACACGTCGTCGTGTATTTGTTTTTACAATTATTGCTCACTGTGTGCTCTGGATAATATTGGATATCAGGAGCGCACGTGTTCTAGGTAAGATAACACCACTACACTGTCGAAGGCTCTGGATAATACTGAACAAAGTCTTTAAGCCCTTTAAGAGTCCAAATCAGTATCATACCGTATAATCTGGAAGCTGTAAACCGTTGTTATTTTCGGCTCTTAAATCAGCCGATAAGCCTGTCCAAAATCGTGTAAAATTTTCTACAAAAGTTGCCCTGTAAATAATTAATAACAAGAAATCTGTCAGCAAATCTGATTTGTAGACAATGACTAAACGAAGACAGAAAACAAAATTGACTATAGTGGGGAAATGAAATGAAATGCTTGTATTTAACATCTAACTTTCCCGATCCGGTCGGGCATACTGTAACGGTATGCATTATTATATTGAGGAGAATATGCACAGATATTTTATTTGGATATTTAATTCATATATATTTTTAAGAACGTATATTTTAAAGATTATATAGTGTAATGAAAATGTATACACGTTATTATTAAATATAGCGAGAGAATAATCCAGTAAAAAGCATAAATTAGCCTAGACGCTGATGGGTGTCGATAGATCTGAACTCATGTTATATAATTGTATACAAATATTTAAGAGTATTAAGAGAGTGTCCTTCATTGATTGTTTATCTAGACGTAATTAAGTAAGATTAATGGTGACAGTGTGCGCGGGGGGGGGGTGCCCAAACAGTGGCGTTTCTGTCGTGGACTTCCAACTCCCAAGGGTTCCTTTACGTCGACACCAACAATGTACTTTGTCATCCATGTTACTATATTTTCTATAATGCCTACCTACAATAAAGCAATATAACACGATGGGATAAAATGCTCAGGACAGGAATATACCATAAAAATTTGGTTCTGCTTTTACTCACCTAAATTCAATGTCGCCATAGTTGAAGGGAGACACCCATTCTAAGGCCACAGCATCAACAGGGTTAGAATTACTATGAATAGCTACATTCTACAAAATTAAACATTAAATGTGATTCACTGATTGCTAGATTACAAATTCAGATGCCCGAAATAATACAATAAATAATTTACCTACTATTCACCGAAATACTACAACCCTATTGTATGGAATTGACAGCATAGAAAACTCATTCATTATTTTTAAAACTGTTCACTCGTTTTTTGAAATCACCAGACGATTCGAGGGACAATTATAACCATTCATTGTAAATATATTTTCACTTGTACATTATTTGCCTATTACTAAACTGTAAATCCATTCCAGAGACAACTATAACACACTCACTGTAAAATAACTGCACTTGTACATTGTATGTTTCTTTATGTAAATACATGTATCTATATCTGACAGGGAGAAGGGTTTAATATAGGCTATGCCTGTTCCCCAATCCCTATTCAGATAGAAATCTGAATAAAAATATTGCTTATAAAAAAAATAAATTAAAAAAAAAAAAATTATTTTGACCAAATGATTATAGATGTTTACATAGATTAGCCATTTCTTACCAAATGTTATTAAAACAGGTTAAAACTTCTCATTAAATAGTTTCTGGTTTAAAGAAGTGTGCATACATGGCACACCTTTTAACAGATGATTGCAAATAAGGTGTCCAGTTTACTCATGTTCCAAGAAAGGGTTATAAACGAAAACAAGTGATTGCTGGGATATAGGAGCCATTGACAAATTTTACCACCCGCATGTCCTTGATCAAACGCGCTATCGTTCCCTTTCAGTTCCAGTATCGAACTCTGGACCTCCAGGTTTGTGATGCAGTGCCATACTCACTGAGTCAGTGCAATACTGACTCCCTCGACTAAAGGTTTCAACCACTATCTGCTCATCAATATAATAACAAAAGCAGCAAAATCTATTTTTCTAGTATGCATTTCTATCTGCTTTAATACACTAGCTTGATGGTTTTTTTGTTCACCTAAACGTTCCAGTGTTCGCAATAGGACCTTTAGTAAAACTGCCCAAGATCTCATCTAAACAGACCAATGATTTAGTTTTATCAATGAAAACTTTAGTAAAGCCGCACAGAATCACATCTGTAGTACCAGTTTTGATACTACATACTTACTTTTCTTCCATCAAAACAGTAAAATGTTCTCAATAGGAACCTTAGTAGAACTGTCCAGAATCTTATCTGTTTTACCTGTCTTGATACTACTGACTTATCTTTCGTCCATCTAAACAGTCCAAAGTTTTGGGGTTTTTTTCAATGGGAACTTGAGTAAAATGCCCAGGATCTCATCAGTTTTATTCGGGATCTCGTCTGTGTTGCCAGGTTTGCTACTACTGACTTACCTTTCTTCCATCTAAACAGTCCAATGTTTTGATTTTCTCAATGGGAACTTTGGTAAAACTGCCCAGGATCTCCTCGGTGTTACCAGTTTTACGATGTGCACTGACTAAAACTCCTTTAAACTGGTTGTTAACATTCGGTAACGCTTCAAGATTTACTGTAAATACAAACATTAATTACAATCATAGGTGAAAGGAACGATAAATCTAGCAGTAGTCAAAGATGAAGCCACATGTGGCAACCTATTTCTCAAAAGCATGTACCAGTTTAACCATGGTGGGAGATACATAAACTGGAAGTAGTATACTAGTAAACATGCAACTGTCCGCCGTACATTTCAACGTAACTCTCTACCAAAACTGGAAGTAGTATACTAGTAAACATGCAACTGTCCGCCCTACATTTCAACGTAACTCTACCAAAACCGCCACCTAATAGTGGAGAAAGGTAAATAACTATATTTCCATCCACTGGAGGCCAGTACCAGTACCCATTTTGTCCAAATTATAAAGGTAATTAGCGTGAGTAATACCTGAAATTGTCTGTGTAGGTTCATATGTTTGTGGATCGACTTCAATTCTGAAAGGAGGCGTTCCAGTCTGTTTTTCTGTGTTTTTATGTTTAGGGAATTGTGTAAGACACGTACTCGTTGGAGGACCTTGGGCATAGCCATCAACTGAAAAATACAACAATAATCATTTTAAGGCATTTAGTAACTGGATAGAGCAATTAACTATAACACATACATATTTATTTGGGCGACGTTTCGAAGAGTATTCTCTCAAAGTTATCAAGCTAATACAGATAATGAAAAAACCCAAGATACAGTAAATTATTGCTATCATTGCTTATGTCGAAAAATATATTAAATATATGACACAATATATTCCACATTAGATTGGATAATGGGCCCACCGAATCTATACAATATTCCGACTAATATCTCTGTAAACTCTATTGTACTTTAAAGATTCGACATATTACTGGACTGTATAAACATAGGTTACCAGTTAACGAAACATACGCCTACTAACAGCTACTCGTCCAAGCAGTTATGAATTAAAGTAGCTTACCGGGGAAAGATGGGCTTTTGGTATCCAATATTTAAGACAAAATAAACATTTTAGCATTGGTATAATGCGTTTCAGTGCCATTTGTAACAATGGACTCAAAGAACCAGGCTATACATATTCCACAAATCATGTCAAACGGTGACGACATATTCTTATCTGGAGAGCATGCGTAATAAAAACTATCAGTTTAGACTGGAATAATCAGACGCTAGAGATTGCCATTCGCCGAACATAAATGATTAGAAATTATAGTAAAAACAGAAACGATTGAATGTAAATCAGTTTAAATACATTCATATTACATTATTATAAAAATTATGCGTTGCGACCCATCTGTGTCAATTTCTAGGTCCCAAATATTAGCGATTTAGCTACTTTAAACGCCCCATAGAAAATTTCAAAGCGATAAGATCATCATTGTAGCTAACAAGACTATGTAATAATGGGGAATAAAATTAAAATGAAATGAAAAGGGGTTTAACGTCCTAGTCTTCTGCTCCGACTGGGCTAATGAAAACGGTAAAGGTAAATAGCTCTGGCGGTATCAAAAAGCGTTGATAATCAATAGGACTCGTCCTTTCAATGGAATGAATAGACAAGCAAGCTACATGACGATTGGAAAACGTTACAAATCAATGGGGTTCGTCGTTTCAGTGCGATAGACGACCCATAATTTCAACAAACAAACGGCGAGGGTGATGTCGTCGGCCCCAATCTCCAAATGAAATAGATGATACTCTATAATTGCTCATTTATAAAACATTTAGCTATTAAATTTGTTTTTATCTATCTGGGGGTTGGGTGGCCGAATGGTTTTAACGCGTTGAATCATAAGGTTGTCATTGAGTCGAGTGGCGTGGTTTCGATTCCCAGCTTGAACGTGGCAAGGGGTAGGGTCGCCTGTCCCACCTCAACGTTTTTCTCCGGTTTCATCCTTATACTGCTAAAGACCCTTAATCGCAAACGAATTATTGAAATAAAATTGAACCAAATTAGTACCGAAATGACCTAGTTTGGATCCAGTGGACGTGAACAAAATTTCTCCTTCTTTTTCCCGTTTATCCCTCTGCTTGACCTGAGCAGATAACTATAGAACTTAGTCAAGGGATTGGCTATTCGAAGTAAAACGAGTGGGCATAATTTTCTAGGAGCAACGAACGCAAATTATTGAAATGCATAATGCATAAAAATTTAATACAGATCGGATTCTACAAACTGAAAGGAACGGAAATTGTTGAAATGTGATAGACTTCTTCGTTTTACTAATTACATTACACGCAATGCATATAAATAGCATACAGATCAGATTCTAAAAGGAGGGTCATAACCCTCATAATCAAACACGTCGCTTGTGATTAAATCCATTATACCAGCATTGTATATAATCATGTCGTACTAGAAAATATTTAAACCGACACATCGTAAATTACCGTAATGTATCGATGAATGCCGATTGTCGACCTAATGTTATATTTTCCGGTTTGGTTCTCCCTTTTCAGTGATGCAGGATGGAGGGCCTGGCAAGGACAGCTGTCTAGTCGTTCGGATGGGACACATTGGCGTGCACGTAAAAAATCCCTTGACAGTTGAAATTCGATATAAGAGTAGGCCGTAGTGCGCCGCTGTCCGGGCAAAATTTCCCTCATAGCACACTGTATGGCGTACGCCCGTCTTCATTAGCCCAGTTCGGAGCAGAACAGTAGGACGTTAAACCCCCATTTCATTTCATTAGCCCAGTTCGGAGCAGAACAGTAGGACGTTAAACTCTATTTCATTTCATTTGTATTATTTACTGACTGCTCCAGTTACGTGCACGATTCACGTCCAGACTTCAGTCCCATTGCCCTCGACATCTGACATTTAATAGATACTAACATCATGTTTGAACAGGACCAGTTGGCCAGGATGAACGTACTTACACCAAAAGTCGCAGATTCCAAAGAATAGCCGTTGAAAAGATTTAAATCAAAGGTTTGCTAATCAAATACAAAACTGAACGTAAATAAATAGCCACTTTGCGAAGTTGCTGTACGTGGTAAATAATTTTGGACTATTCTGTTAAATGCAACGATTGGTTGACAAAAATGCAACAATCATATACTATGGCAAGTTTATAGACTGATTTGCCAAGTCAGTGTTACAGGATAGAGGAAGTGAACAGTAACATCGTCTGTGGCCTGTTTTACTAAATTTTAACAAAGATAAAATCCAAATTTTAGTAATTTGATTGGATAATATTAGATTGATTTTAGTGCTTAGCCAATCAAAATTGAAGTATCTACTAAAATTTGGATTTTATCTTTATAGTCCGATCGTTAATGTAAATCAGTCGGCTTTTCGAGTAGAAATAAAGGTGAAAATAATAAAATAAGTTGCAATATTATCGCAAAATGGCTACCCTCAAATAATGGCATCCCAGACTATGAAGACCTACTCAGAAAAAAAGTCAACATTGGTTTTTTGTAATCAAACATCAAAACCTACAAAATAAAGCTTATTCCATGATTTCTACCCGAAAAGCCGACGGATGGGAATTATGTAACAAACCGAATCCGACTATTAGTTAAAATTTCGTAAAACAGGCCCCTGGTCTTTTAGGTTGATGCGTAAAAACCAAGGTCCCGTCGTGCACACGTTGTTGTGGATGTAAAAAAAAACCCATGGGCACTGAAATTCGATGAAGAATATAGGCGAAAACCGGGTAAAATTTACCCTCATTGCACACTGCACCGCGTATGTCCGTCTTCATTAGCCCAGTCGGAGCACAACAGTAGGACGTTATACCCCATATACTTTGATTTCATTTCGTTTTTTTATGTATGGTGACGTCAGAATTTATAAACAATGACAATACAAAGAAGTTTGTACCGGTCATAAACTTCCAGTTTGTATTTCTTTGCACCATGGTGCAGCGGCAAGAACAGCGTCTAGTCGTTCGGATGGTAAGAAAACCCGAGGTCTCGTGTATGAAGGGCTGCTGTCGAGGCATAATTTCCCCTATATCGCACTGTTTGTCATAATGCCCGTCGTCATTAGCCACGTGGGTTCAGCAAAATAGTTAAACCCCATTTAATTTCTTTTCATTGGGAAGAAAACAATCTGATTACAATAGCCTACAGATCTATATTTCGTTTCCTTTTTTATACTTTCGATGGTCTCCAGTTGTAGTGGGAGGTCGTATCAGCGGTCATACGAGCGGCTTTTGGCCCTATGACATCAGACATTTGATTAACCAATCAGCGTTGATGTTTCAAGTGGGTATTTGGAAATACAACTTTTGCTTTGTCTTCGCTGCGAATGTCTACCCACACACGCCAAGAACTCGCCACAACAGACAATTTCATTGGCTAATCTCTCACATCAAACAGAACGCGGATTATATAACAACTCTTCCAGATCCCAGTGTAATGAAGGCTAGTAAAACGAAATTTTGAAATATAAAAAAAACGAAACGAAATAGAATCTGTGTTTTAATCAGATTGGGAAGAAAATACAGGTGACGAAATGAATTGAAATAAAGTTTAACGTCCCAATTTTCTGCACCGGGCTTATGAAGTTGGCATACGCTATACAGTGTGGCATGTGGGAAATTTCTACCTTCTTTTCTTTTACGAGGACACCAGCGGTTTTCGAAACTTTTCTTCGCATCCCAACGATTGGACTTTCATTAACAGAACAGAGTATTTATGTGGTACAATAACTAGTTTATTCTAAAAGCACGACGTTTCGACAAGTATCCTCTTATCATTATCAAGCACAATGACATTTAGTAAACTTGTGGATTATATATATGAAATCAATAAGAAACCATCTGCATGGATTAAGAATAACAGTAAAAAAACCCTGTGTTCTGGTAATGTGTTCCCCGATCGCTATTACTGCCACTGAAAGATTATGATTAGACTTTCAGTTACAGGTCTCTTTGTGATGTTATTCTGGGAAGCAAATACAAGTGACAAGTGTCGTTGGTGTTACATTACAAAGTATATTGACATATCTTTCAACTTGTATCCATCCATACTGAGTGTTCTAGTATTATATCTTACAACTTGTTTTACCAGATTCCTACACGTACGGGTAACCCTACCTTAATTACACATGTACGGGCCTATTCGCCTTGAAGTATTTACACCAAAAGATGGATGTCGTCCTGTCCGGTCGCTGTGGATCATGGCATTTGATGTTATTGATGTCCGAGATATTTCAACACCTATGCTTAGATATTTAGAATATGTTTGGTAAGAAATACTAAAGTCCGGACTTCTTTAGTTGTGGCTTTCTTTTAAAAATGTTTAAAGAATGGACAAGACGATGAAATGGAGGCAAAATTAGTTCCCCGTGTCAAAGTGCGCGTGAAACGTTAAAAGAAAAAAAAACCTATGCATATAATTGACTGATTGATCAACAAAAATAGATTATACAAAATAGATTATACAACATTGTATTCCCCTTACTGCAGTACTAAAACCCAAACTTGTTCAAAATTTATAAAGAATAAACGATATAAATGATTAGCTGATATAGACCAATTGATAAAAAAAAAATATATCAAATCATATCGTACTTACCTCTGCCCAGTACAGTTACAAACAATAACATTAACATCATAGCGTGTTGTTTCTCCATTTCAGCAGATCGCACTTTTTACTTGACTTTGGATAAATACCACACGAAATTAATGTCAATCCCTAGTTCAACAACGTGATGTTGCTAACTTCGTCTAGGATATAAGTGAGGTAACCGGAACAGATCACGTGGTACATTTACCAAATCTAAATATTTTTATTAAACAGGCATATGTGTATGTTCGTATGTGGATGACATATATCATGGAACAGGATATATGTCGCGTGACCTAACCTTGAAATACTAATAAATTAGTTTTTACTTTAAAAATTGATTTTTTTTTTTATCAGACCACAAAGAGCTTAAAACTTCAAATAATTGTGTGAATGGCGTTTACTTTTTGTGTAGCTTAAGAGACAAAAGGAAATTTATATAATTTAAAAGAATTTATGAGATATATAATTATTTTATTTGAACACATTATCACCGTGTCTACGAAATGAACTAATATAAAATCTTATACTTTGATAAAATATAGTAGCCTAAATATCATTTTTAACAAAACTTATTTAAAATCCTATGTTAAAGTATGGTTTGGAATATCATTTCTAAGAATGTCGGCGTCACCAATTCTTTTTAAACAGTGCAAAAACTCTGCATCTTCTTTATATTTAATAAAACTAAACGATATTTTATTTCAATTGAAATTTAATTGGAGAGCAGACTGGGCCGATACGTGGCCTTATCCCAAATCGATTCAAGCAATTAGCAGATCCTTGTATGTTTAAAGGGCGTATGGCTCTATTTTTTGGAACCATAAATGAGTCTAAAAGCACACATTAATGTAATATGAGTGTATATAAAGTGATTTATATTCAATTTTTAAATAAAAGTAATTTCTAATCAATTATGTTCAGTGAAATACGTGAACATTCCAAACTGAATGGCAGTCGTTTACGTCCGTTTCGTCCGTTCTAAACGTGTTTTCTTTTAGTATTATTTTATCATTTGTGAATCAGCCATTACTATTTACTGTCGCTTTATAATTTAGGATAAGTTTTTCTTTGTTCATTCCTTTTGCGTCCGAAACGATGTGGTACAGGACTCGTGTACCATATTTTAAACTTTCATTGTGTCATATATATTGGATATTAGGATCCCACATTTTCACGGCAACATAACAACATCAATATAGATTGAAATGGACCAAAATTGAATTCTAATTTGTGTTTTTAATTTCGAATATTATAGAAAATATTAGGTTGGAGACTTGGCTCCTTAAATATAATTTACAAAATTAATCATTGCGGTATTTAACTAACATGCATTACATGTATATATTATGTTTTAATGAATCGTATATTATGTTGCTTTACCATAGCCGTTTTTCTGACAGTTTACACTACATATATAGTTAGGAATATAGACACGAAGTGTGATCTGCATTATCACAGTTAAATGTGTGGAGGGGTCATTACAAAAGAAATGGGGATCCCGGCGATAGATTAAATAATCCTTCCGGAATCGCGGCGATAATGCTGATAGTGTAACAAAAAAAGTTCGTCGATCTGAAAAGGTCGATTCTAAATGATGATCGATATTGCAGTCAAATTATATATTGTTTTTAGATACAACGAATGTTATTTCGTTTTATTAAATTTTTTAAAGTGCAATTATGAAAGATTATTTCACATATCACCGTCATCTCAGAGGTGTGTGAAATATTCGGATGCATTGTCCTCTTCGTTAAAAGTGTTCTACGTTATATGATCAAAATATTATAGTTTTAAAGATGCATTATGTAACAGATAAATCTGCCTATCGCAGATCTTTCGTTTTGCCTCAAATGTTCTATAAATCATTAATTAGACATTTAATCACATGTCCAGCCCACAATCAACTCTCTAGCCCATCGAATGGTTGTGATTTTCAATGGATTTAAACACGCTCTGCAGTTAATAATTTATGGTTATATCATAACAACGGTAGCAATGGTGCCGAAACTAGGCTATGCGTCAAACGGTCATAACTACGCTCAGAATAAAGTAATTTGACTGAAATTTTCAATATATTCCCTTTTTGCTATCTATTTTTAACTATACAACGAGAACTGCGAGCTCTTGATCTCAATCTTACATAATTCATTTTTATATTATATAAATTTACATACAAATGTCGTCACTGTGACTTTCATCCATTTTATTTAAAGGAAATTGTAACCAGTTACTGTAATTATTTACGATCATCTGATTAAAGCTTGCTAACAACCTCATTATACGGAACTCAAAAGCGAAACAAAACGTGAATATATATATAAAGATATTTAAACGGAATTAAAAACGTAACTTTTTAGATAATCATTTTCTTGAGGAGTGGTAATTTACGTCTATAGTTAAACCACGTGTTTGAAATTATGGTGTATAATAGACTAGACGAGTATTAGGCTACAACTATTATTAGACAGAATATGATGTGTACGTTCTACCATACATAAATATATAAACTAACGGAATCTGGGTTAACGTGAACTTCTGATCATAAATTCCTTAATATAAGATAACCAACCTGGCTCTTGTGCAAATATATTAAAATTATGTATGTTAGTAAATAGTTCCAAACAATCTTGATAAAAGCCATGAATATATACCTACATCAATTCCTTATAAAACTAAGCAAAGTAACGCCTTTGTTACTTGGAAAATAGAAGGAATCGTCAGTCATAACGGTAAACGACAGAGGTGTCCAATTACAAGTTTCTTGAAATTAAAGTACGGTAAGCTGTATGGGTCATAGATTTACGCCTGAGCACATGCGCAGTAGGTTACTGATTCGTTTGCTTTGGTTGAAAATGCAAACTACCAATATTTGTCCCCATTATTAGACATTCAAGACCATGATTGGGCGAGCACTGCAGTGTTACATTGTAGGCTTATTGGCTGAAATTTGCCATGGTGGAGGGGAGTCACATCGTAACTAGAAGGTGTGGTACTCCGGTGGAATCGTAACCCGCGATGATCGTTATCAAATTATCGCAAACAGATTCGATACGTCGTTACCAAATTATCACAACCAGTTTCGATACATCGTTACCAACTGTATACGTCATTGCCCTGACAGCGGATAGTAGAGTAGGCCGTAGGTCAAAATTTCCCTCAAAGAACACTGCATGGCGTATGCCCGTCTTCATTAGCCCGGATGGTAAGACGTTCAATCCATTTCATTTCATTATTATTATAAAGGCCACAAAACATACGCTCTACTACAATGTAATCCCACGTCGTCAACTTGACACATAATAAACCATTTGCTGTATTAGTGTAAAATACTAATGTTAACCTTAACTAAGCCTGGAGGTAAATAGGAAAAATCGTGTTTTATGTATTAACTAAATAGTAACAGCAGATTTTGTATATTCTGTTCGGTTCGTTTCTTTTAAAGCAACTATTTTATGAGGGTAACTGTCTGTCACCATGTTAAATACTTAGTCTATGAACACTAACTGCCAGTTATCATGAGGACGCAATCGGTGTGTTAACGAAAAATCCTTATTTTATTTTTAAATGATGAAACTATTTTATACCTAAATAATGAATAACTTCTTTCATGGAAGTCATATTGTACACTCTAGCGTTTGAGACGGACATGTGGAACTGGGGCGCTGTGTGGGAGGACGTTAGGCAAAAATCATTAACATTTAAGGAAACATTATCACAGAAACCATGCGTATACGATTTTTTAATATCAAACTTCTGTTAACTGTACAATATCCCTTTATGCATAAACACAGGGAATGAAATTGCAATTGTTTTTAAATAAACTTTTTATTTCAAACATAAAAAATGGTTCGCTTGTGGAATTGAACAGTAAAAATATGAGATGCAATTATGAAAATTATTGGCTTACATCAATGAAATATTTTTAAAACAAATATTATTAATAAAACAAAATACGTTTTTTTATTATAAATAAGGAAATGAAAACAGAGTTATATAAAAAAAATAAATAAATAAAATTATGACTTAAATACATGTTTTTAATTTGCTGTCTTGATCTGGATTTTTGTCCGTGTAAACTTCAGAAAGAATAGCATATAGTTGTGGATCAATTAGTTTCATTTGTTTTCTGGCGTCCATTTCGGTTCGACAGTACGTTGCACCACACCTAAACAGATAGTATACATACATAAATTTAACATGGGGTAATTACTAAATGAGCTGAAATATACCTAAATTATAATATTATTGTATTTTGGACATTGTTATATTGAAAACGTACATAATTCGCGTGGCTGTCTATCCGTACCCACAATAAGAGCGGCCGCATGTTCGGTCGCGACCTTCACTTGCTGAAGGCCCGTCTTGGTACAACTAGAACCACAGTATGGACTACTAGAGATAAACCAAGAAAATGAAATGAAATGAAATGGGGTTTAACGTCCTACTGTTCTGATCCGAACTGGGCTAATGAAGACAGGCATACGTCATACAGTGTGCTAGGAGGGACATTTTGCCCGGACAGCGGCACTACGGCCTACTCTTATATCGAATTCCAACTGTCCTCCCATCCGAACGACTAGACAGCTGTCCTTGTCTGGCCCTCCGTTCTGCATCACTGACAAGGAGGAACCACGCCGGAAAACCTGGATGAACTTTCTAGGCCAATGCCGGGATCGAACACCCGATCTCCAGGCTACAGTGTGGCATCCGTATGAGGCCGTTTGCTAGTGGGGTGGGGGAGAGGTGGGTATGGATCTGGTCGGTTTGCCGGGGTGGGGACGGGATTGTCAGGTGTAAACTATTTATATTTAGCTTTTGCTGTCCTTTGTTCTCTTCTTCGTTATATATGTCTGTCATAATTTAGTGCATCTGGTTTGAAGCTCGACTAAATATTGGCTAACATCTTATATATTAAAGTGAAAGTAATTTACTTTAAATACAAAATACATGCAGATTCTACTGTCCTGAAGTACAGAAAATGAAACGAAATAGGATCTGGGTTTTAATGGGATTATATACGGTACTATAGCTCTCCCGTCAAAGGGCAAAACCTAGTAGCTCACTTTTTTTTATATCAAAATTAAGTTAGGACCAAATTTGTAGATACTAGGTTATGTGCTTCCTGTTGTACTAGATATTCCGATCTTTTGATTTTGTAAGAAGTTACACCGATGACACAACCTAATAACTTCCTTCATTTGCCTAGTATGTCACAGAAAAACCTAGTAACTCAATAGTTAAATCTATGGATAAGCTGGGGTTTAATATTCATTCATTACGTTTTCCTTTGTTTTCTCAAAATAAGAACAAACTTGAGATTGCGGGAGCGCTAAATTCACTTGTTTTAAAAGTTTACTTACTTGTTCATGTCACCAGCACTACCTCTTCTAGATACCATAAAAAATGCTGAAGTTGCTTCAGCAAAATATTCCAGATGGTGACTCATCGCATAGGATGCCAAGTTCCACAGTCTGTTTCTTTTAGCATGAATATACGCGTCTTTAATCTAAAATACACACACAACATAATAGATAGACCCATACTAAGGGCAAGAAGATAAATCAAAAACCAAAGCGCGTCAATCGATGGGACTCTGTTCACGGCACACGTATCCCAAGTGCCATGTCGATCGTATTGGCGGAGCCGTGGGTTTTTTCGAAGCGCGACGCCCCAAAGAAGACAACAAGAACGACAAGAGCAGTAGCGGTTGGGAACCAGGCCACGAGATGTCGCGAGATGTAAATAGAGTTAGGGTAGGTGAATGTTAACGAGATTGTGGGTTAGGGCTAGGTCTCGGGGTATGGTTAGGTTTAGGGTTAGCGCTAGCCCTGTTTACATCTCGTGTTCATTGACCAAACTTGCAGTGGGCCTTAACTTTTGGGAGTAACCATGATACAGGGTCTAATCGCTGCTTGCGTTCTCTTCGTCTCTTCTTGTGGACAATAATTTTGTCACCCTAATCAACCAATCACGAATGGAATCGAACGTTGATTACCGCTACTTGGCGAAGCGCCTGGAAACCACGGGATTAATTTAGACGCAGTTGAGCTTGAGAATGTTTGTTGTCGAAAATTTGCTCGGTAATACACAGTAATTGTATTCCATAGAATTGTAACATGTCCGTTTCCAGTTCAATGAAAACAATTTATACTACCACGCACCCCGTTTTGTTTTTTTACGGAAATTGCCGACATATCCCGACTAATAAATCTCGTAACATACCTGAGCAAAAACTCTGTAAATAATTTACCTTCGTTCTTAATCGTTTTGATAAATAATAACTGATAGTGTGGGCAAATTCATGTACAAGAATATTTTCTCGGTGTCTGTAAGGATCTTGGGGTAAACACAGAAGGTTATCTTCTCTGACGACTGCCATCTGACTGCCCATACCGACCAGGTTATCTATTTTTCTGCCGTCAGTTAAACAGGTTACAGAACAAACACCGCTACATTTACCTGAAAGAGACCATAGAGTTCAAATATACCTACTTTCCAAATAAGTATACGATATATCATATTCATTTAACTCGTTCGGATATAACCTTTGTTATTATTATTATTGTCGTGTGATCATCCCCAAATTGTATATAATTAAAAATAAGACTATAAACCATATATCTGGACAATAATCCAACCCATAAATCTGGACAACACCCCATAAATCCACAGGCTAAGACTACAAAATGAACTGACATTAATCTTTGCATGGTTTTATTTTAGTATATATAATTATTTCCATATAATTTGTTATTTTGTTTAATGTCCCATTCTTCACGTTAGCGTTCAAGTGCTTATTATAACTTGAACATAATCAGTTATGATTGCCCTACTGTACGGTATCTGATCAGTCAGTCTCAATCTTATTAAAATACAGATCTATATTTCGTTTCGTTTTTTTTTATACTTTCGATGCCCTACACTACATGAAGATCTGACGGGTTGTACTGGAAGGTCGCGCCAGGGGTCGTACGAGCGGATTTTGACCCTATGACGTCAGACATTGATTTATCAATCAGCGTTGGCGTTTCTAGTGGTTTACCCTCAGTTCTGTGCATCAAATGCCAAGAACTCGTAGCAACAGACCGTTTCATTAGCTAATCCCTCGCTTTAACCAGAACGACGTTAATATAACAACTCTTGTGTAAAACGAAATTTTGAACTATAAAAAACGAAACGAAGTAGGATCTGGGTTTTAATCAGATTGAGACAGTCTGTACCGTAAGGCGTATTGATTTACCAGAATTAAAGAAGTGAAGAAATGTGTCCAACTAAATCATTAGTTATACGATGTGCATGTTATATATATATCTTAAAATACTTGGTTTCTTAATATGAGAATAGGAGATGAACTGTTTCGTTTCTGTTTTGATTTTTTTAGACATGTTGCTGAAGTAGGCATATCTTAGTTCGTATGTTTCTCTGATCTAAAATAGTTTAATCTAAGCATTAAAGAGCAATGATTTTGCGTTTATTTTTTACCTTGACACTGGACGGAATCTCTATGGTCAGCATATTCAGGCCAAACACTTAGACGTTCAGTTGCTGCAAAAACTCCTACTGAACCATTGTTTTTCGCTACGTCTTCTAATACTGAACCTGGCATGTGACGTGTCATCAAACCCGTTAATAAAGCCGCCTGTAATGTAATGGCAATATTCGGCTGTATTGAAACCTACGCAAGATTCAACAGGCAATATATTAACCATGGTCGTGTTCAGAATTTGAGAAGGGAGGTTTCGGCGTGGAGACAAGGTTAAGTTTTGAGTGAGGCCGGGGGGATGACTCGAGAATTTTATAACGTCAGAAGCTCTGGGACAAGTTTATGACATACGAAGACGTTCATTTAGAGCATGTAGACAGCTAGATTATGATTTAATGGATATCACAATGAAGAAGTCAAAGTGGTTGATTTCATTGGACGTATTTAATATCAGATAATGAAGCACAAGCAGGAGGACCGCACTACATGCAAACAGATTCTGTTAGACAAACCTGCGGACAGAACACACAAACCTTGCAAGCAATGAAAAAGAAACATTGTTTCAAATCATGCAAATGAATCCGGGGGCCACTCGCAAGATGTACACTCCCGGGCCTGTTGTGACACAAGCTTTTCTCAAAAAGAAACACATACTCAAAATATAACAAACAAAAACTTAGGTAGAGAGGCGCAAAAGAAATCATGCGACCTGTCTTGGCAGTAGTCGTCTGCTGAATTCCGTTTCTTGGTGGAGATAGTCGGCCAATGGACGTCCTGATAGAAAACTGTATAAATTAACAATTTACGAATTCAAATTGTAGTTTGCAGGGGATTAGTATACTGCTTAAAGCTCGCTCAGAGTCTTTAAAGATACATTTTGTAAGATTTAGATAAAGAGCTAGTTGTTCGAAGCCAAGTCTCGCTCCTCCATTTTTAGCTTAAAACAACATAGGGCTGAACTGTTCTAATCTATTTAATATCGGAGAAATCCGATGCCATGGAGAGTTGATTATGGCCTGGATAAGTTAATTAATGTCTAATTAACAATTTAGAAAACATTTCAGGCCTAAAGAAAGACATGCAATAGGCAGATTTAGCTCTTGCATAATGTATGTTTAAGTATTTCTAAATTACCTTATAATGAGCTAATCTCGATGTCTGTTGAGTTGCGGCTACCATAATTTTAGGGTCAGGTCCCGGTTTAGTTCTTATCTCCCCTTGTTCACCTACCCACAGATATCTTAACCGCAATGGTTTAACAGCTCTTCTGTAAATTCGACCAAATCTATGATGGAAATAAGCTGAATCAGTTTAAAATATTTCGTGACAAAACAACAAGCGGCAGGCCTAGTATGCAAAAGCCATTTTCCATCAGATAATAATTGAGAAAGTTCCCCGTAACTTTCCGGTCCGGTTTCGCCTTGGAAGGTGCGCAGGAGGTAAGGGGTAGAAGGGGACAGTGCGTTGTCATTCTAATGTTACAAAATATCATGTATGTCCCATGTATCGCATAGCCAGTACGTTTAAGACCCCATGCCAATAAGAGTAGGCAGTAGGCTGACCGGGAAAAAATTCCACCATAGCACACAGTCTGCTCGTTTTCATAAGCAGAAAAAGTAAGCCGCTAAACCGGGTTTTATGCCATTAAATTTCAAGTCATCGGCCGTTACCGACGCCGTTGGGGAATTTTTTTCTTATTAATCGCACATGTCACGAGTAGGGGCTTTATCACATAAACCACATAATTCGTATTTTGATGTGAACATACCGATTTTAGCCATTTCCAGAAAATGTTTACCTGTTTCTTTGTCAGGTATTAATAATGGGTGTGGGGGCGGGGTCTAACGCGTGTGTTTCAGGTATAAGGTATGTCATTGAGTCAAGTGGCGTGCTTTCGATCCCAAGTTTGTGCGTGACAAAGAGTAGGGTCTCCCCCCCCCACACACACACACACTGCTAAATACCCTTCCGCGAAAGCGAATTGTTGAAATAGAATTCTACAATATGTTAGTCCCTAAATAACAACAAATCTCTCTCTCTCTCTCTCTCTCTCTCTCTCTCTTTCTCTCTCTCTCTGAATTGATAATAAAATAATAGAAAATAAATACACACCTCCATCCGGCCCTGCCATAGATGACACCAACTGCAATGTGGGCGACAATCCCTGCAAAAATACTTACAACGTGACTAAAATACTATATCATAAATGAGATAAAATGGAAAATAATTTTAAAAATTGACATATTATGGTGCATCCTAGCAACTTCCCACCACAAATGAACGTTGTATTCCCTACACGATTTAATCTTATGATCAATTTTTGTTTTCTACGTCAATCTAAAAGAATGTAGGCTACGGCTATATATATTTTAAAACAATTTCCCGATCAGATCATATTTTACTTTAGATCTTTTTGAGGCAACTGTAATTAATATAAAACAAACACGTTAATTAACTGGCCTGGACTAAAGATTATATAAATTTGTTCTCCATAAATCTAAAAGAATATGCGTCAATTTTAAAACTATTTTCCGATCGCATCACATTTTACGATCAATCTTTTCGGGCACCTTTGATTAGCGTAAAAAGAAAAACAATACTGACTTACCTAGATTAAAGATTACAAATTTCCAATGCATTGTGTTTATGATAAATCCAAAAGAGTCTTATCATTGGCACAGAAAATCAAAGACTGTCAAACAAATGGCAAGTTGTATATTCCTTTGACCACAGCCCATGTTATGATACGGAAGTCCAACACCTACATTATTAACTTATATATACCTTACAATGGTTCATGTACTTGGTTATATAGTCCATTACAAAGGAAACTCCGCAGGGAGCCCTACTATTTCCCACTTATTTCACTTTACATGCTAACGTACTTGTTAAATTTTCAAGATCCAGGTTTAAGTCCGCCAAAGTTTATGATCTTATTTTATTTTTTGAACGATCGAATGTCGTCTGGTTTATTCGTCACGCGTCTCTGTAACGCAAGTGCAAAACACAGCTTCAAGTACGCCACCGCCTTCATAAAAATTAACTGTTGGATTTGGTTTAAAATTAAGTTTTAATACATGAATGTGAGACAGTTATCACATTCGACCAGTTCAGAAAAAAATCTAATTAAAGCCATAATTTTATATGACTGTTCGTCTATTGATTTAAATAAATATTTATTTATTAAATTATAATTACATAAGTACACAATAAATTATTTGGATTCGGAAGAGCAAATCACGTAAATATAGATACGTGTTTAGTCGAAAGCAGAGGTTTGGTTGGTCGAGTCGTTCAACATGTGTGCTTTAGATAATACGGTGAGAGAGAGAAATGGGGTTTAGCGTACACTTGACACAAACTAGGTCATTTCGGGACTAACATATAGTTAAATTTTATTTCAATAATTGGCTTGCGCGTAGGTGTCTTTAGCAGTGGGAGGAAACGGGAGGACCCAGAGAAAACCCACGAGGTTGGACAGGCGACCCCACTCCTTGTCACGTACACCCGGGGAATTGAAACCACGCCAGTTGACTCAATGACAGACCTTATGATACAGCGCGCACACGCTAATCACCCCCCCCCCTTCCCTCACCACCCCCAGATAATAAGGTATGTCATTAAATAATATTTGTTAACATATAATTACATACGTACATAATAAATTATGCGTCTAGTCGTTCGGATCCAACGAAAACCGAGACAGTTGAAATTCGATGTAAAGTAAGTGGGAACGCCGATATCTTGCAAAATTTCCCTCATAGAAAACAACATGGCGTATGCCCTGTCCCCATTAACCCGATTTGTGCAGATAAGTAGGACGTTAAACCCCATTTCATTTCAGATTTAAATCGAGTTACGTCATGGTTGGGTAATGCCTTGAGTAGTGGCGAACTGTGTTGCATCTTAATACGTTTAAAAAAATTATCGAAAATCTCCTTTATAGAAAACAACATGACGTATGCCCTGTCCTCATTATCCTGATTATTGAATATTTTTGGTTTAGTTTTTTTTTATTTTGTTTACATTGTTTTGTATTCAATGGAGTTATTATTCTCAAACTATAAACAATTAAAACAACTGTGAAATTTGTTGTACGGAAGTATGAATGATAAACATTTTCTTGTACTTGAAAATATGTCATAGCATTGTTCATGCAGGAAATCTACTGGCGTGCACACATAATAATAATGTTTTGTTTTGTAATGTTATCCTTCGTTGTTCTTCTTAATATAAAACTACCCCCGTAAAAAACAATAATTATAAATTTGTTTTTTCTTTTTAAAAGATTTTTTTACGTTCGACTTTTTCCTTGATATAATATAATAATACTATAGATATTAGTATTCGCCAGTCTTGGCCGAGCAAGTTCCACGGAATATGTTTCGGCGTGGTTTCCCGTTGTTAGTGGTACAGGGAGTAGGGTCTGGAAAGGAACATTGTCTGGTCGTTCGCATGGGACGATAAACCGTGGTCCGGTGTAATCAAAGCAATAATGCATCCTTGGCTTAGGGCAGTGGTTCTCAACCTTTTTTTGCCAACGGCACACCTTGGAACACATGAAAAAATAGCGGCAAACCTGGCTAAATATGTATGAAAAATATTTGAATTTTGCAAAATAAAAACATGGCAAGTCAGGCGACATACAACCGTAGACCGAGACTAGTCATAGAAACATAGAATGTCTTATACTAAATAAAGAAAAACACATCTATGAACTTATCAGCGAATACTCAATTGGGATCATGTGGCTTTTCGCATTTTCTTAGTGTGCCTTTCAAAATTGCGCGGCACACTTGGGAAGATCTCGCGGCACACAGGCACACTGGTTGAGAATCAGTGGCTTAGGGCCTGACACTGACATAATTGGGAACATTTAATACTGAGTAGTTAAATAGCAATATTTATTGATTTAAAAAAAAAAGGGATTCCTTACCTGTACTCAAACCACCTGTCACTGCACCAGGGGCGTGGTGAAACACGATTTTGCATGAGGAGGAAGATCCCGTGCGGGCCCCCCAAAAAAACAATATTTGTATGTGTGTGTGGGGGAGGGGGTTGGGTGGCACCCCCCCCCCCCCCCAGTGCCGCCGGCTAATATTGGGCTGTGTGGAACATGCTAGAGCCGATTTGTAGCATATCTGACCCACGGTATGTTTGACACTGGTTAAGCATAATGATTATGATTATAATGTTGAAAACCGCATTGAAACCGGGTGATTATTTGCCATTTGCGATGGGGCGCAAAAACTCAAGAGGGCGCAAAAACTCAAAACCATAACGCAAGGCTCGCCATCGCGTCCCTCTCACTTAACCCCTACAATGCATATGCATTACAGGTTATATGCGTGGCGGACAGATTCCGGTACTTACCCAAAATTTTAATTCACCGTAACATTTTGTCAGTCAGTGGGATACCAGCCCATTTGCTGTGTTCGATATCCATTATTCTCACACTTTATGTTTTTGACAGATTATGTTTTTTGTTGGCCCACCAGTTGTTTTATTTAATTTTTTTTTTTTTTTTGGGGGGGGGGGGAGTTTGACAGATTATGTTTTTTGTTGGCTCACCAGTTGTTTTATTTAATTTTTTTTTTTTTGGGGGGGGGGGGGGGAGTTTGACAGATTATGTTTTTTGTTGGCTCACCAGTTGTTTTATTTAATTTAGTTTGTTTTTTGGGTGGTTTCTATGGCGGAGGGGGGGGGGGCAGTATATATACATTTGCAGAGCAATTGGACAACTTGATTAGCAATGTTAGTATATTCCATTAGGCATCATGTTTAGACAACACTAATAAGTGGGTTATTTTCACGATTTTGTGTAGCCAATTATCCAAACTTGGGTAGCACGTAGATAACGAACCTCATCCCTCCGTGTTTCGAGACAAGAGATGGTGCTATATAGTTCCACGTAGCAAAGCCAACGCAAATCACATCGGGACTCAGTAAGCAAAATTGACGATGTTTTTCATCAAAACGACGATTAATTATTGTTATTTATAATATTTCTGACACATCCAACTACAATTAAGCATATAATCCTACCTTAAATAGGTATAAATCATCGTATTTAAAATCGAAGCGTTAAGCCGTTACTAGGAACGCCATTTTTAAACGGGAGATGTATGACGGTGTATGTCGAATAAAAACAACGCTTCATTAATTTAAACGCGAATATTTGGAGTTGGGCGATAGTTGTGCTACTACATTGGCCTCTCTAAGTTTAATTAGTCATAATAGTATAATATTATCTTAAGATGTTACATGCATTAATAAAGAAAGCGAGTTTGCCACTTGGAACTAAAAGCACCAAATCGTAGATAAAAACAAGCACACCGGTATATCTCAACATTTTTAGCTACCTTCTCGTAGCTAGGTAGCACGCTGCAACTAATCCTGTAAAACGCAGTGTTTTCGTGAACTTCCTACTTTAGAGAACGCGACATTTTTAGTGAACCCATTTTGTTATTATGGAGACATAGTAATTACATTATAAAACATATTTTATAGATGTGCGCTCCTCGAACATAATCCAGGATATTACACCAAGGCGTCGTTATTTCATGTATGCTGTTGATGTTAGTGTCAATTCAATGGGGTCATGGGTCACTGTTTCAGACACAACAAACTGTCATTCAACCGTCCTTGAAAGGTTGAATAAAATATTGTCTGACAGAAGCTATATATGTAAATTATTTTAAGCATTTTCAACCGACTGCTAATAACTGACGAGAGAACTGGATCCATATATAGGCCTATATATACTCGATAAAAATGTGGACTGGAGAGATAGAGACAGAGAGAAAGAAATGGGGTTTAACGTCCACTCGACACAAACTAGGTCATTTCGGGAGTACCACATGGTTCAATTTTATTTCAATAATTTGCATGCGTGTAGGGGTGTTTAGCAGTGGGGGGAAACCGGAAGACCCGGAGAAAACCAACGAGGTTGGACAGGCGACCCTACCCCTTGTCACGTACAACCGGGCAATTGAAGCCATGCCAATTGACCCAAATGACAGACCTTATGAAACAACGCGCCAGCGCTAACCACTTGGCTATCCCCCCCCCCCCCACATGTGGACTGGAAGTTAATACTCTGTTTCGAACTAAATGGTGTAATCAAATTAGCTAATAGTTCGTTGCAATGTGGTTCCCAGTCATTTGCTTGTTTTCATTCCGTTACATAAGCCACGATGGCTCAATGAGTAAGGCGGGGGCTCACCAAACTCAAGGCCCTCGGTTTTGATTCCAGTGTTGGCACAGAAAGTTTCTTGGGAATTTTCAACGGCGGTTTCCCCATGTCAGTGGTCCAGGACGAAAAACTGATATTCGTGAACGTAAAATAACCGTTGACATTGGAATTCGATAAAGGACAGGCTAGTAGGCACAAACACCGCTGTCGTTCATGGCTCGTCTTCATTAGCCAGCCTGGTGCAGAAACCGATACGGCCAATGAAATGAAATAGGGATTTAACGTCTTACTGTTCTGCTCCGTACTGGGCTAATGAAGACGGGCATACACCATGCAGTGTGCTATGAGGGAAATTTTTCCCGGACATCGGCGCTAAGACCTGCTCTTATATCGAATTCCAACTGCCAAGGGTTCTTTTACGTACACACCAATGTGTACACGGGACCTCGATTGTTGTCCCATCGGAGCGAATATACAGTCCTACAGCACTGACAAGGGGGAACCGCACCGGTAAATCCCGGTGAATTTTATCCTAGGCCAATGGCATTATATTCCCTTTGCATGACAACGAAAGATAAATATTACGGATAGGATATCAACGTAATAAGCTAATTGAATGATTTATATTCCCCTAAAAGATTTCACACGGATAAAGTTCAAGATGATGTCTAAGATGACCATAATTCCAGAATACAAACCACAGTGCAATTATCTCTTTGAACCCTTTGTTATTTTGGATATTAATCTCTTGTGACATCATCAGTTGTCAATATCGTGATATTTATATTAAACTCCATGCATATTTCAATATTCAGATTGTTCAATATATCCAAAGGTCAAGAAGACGCATGTTTGTACTCGTATGCACGCACATGTTTTGTTAAAAGAATAACTAGAGGACTAATCCTTTTGAACACAGAAGTCTTTGCTATTAATTTTACTTCCTTTATATGTAAAATGCTCAGAAAATCCTGAAGAACTTTCTTGGATTACAGAATAAGGTATGCTCCGGAACCAAAACAAGAGACAGACAGAACCCATTTCAATATCTATCATCAAAAGAAAACACTTTTTAGATAAGAGAGATAGAGAGAAATGGGGTTTAACTTCCACTAGATACAAATTAGGTCATTTTGGGACTAACATGTGGTTCAATTTTATTTCAATAATTCACTTGCATGTAGGGGGTCTTTATCAGTGGGAGGAAATCGGAGGACGCGGAGAAAACCCAGGAGGTTGGACAGGAGACCTTACTCCTTGTCACGTACAACCCGGGAATCAAAACCATGTCAATTGACTTAATGACAGACCTTATGATACAACCTGCACACGCTAACCATTCGCCCATCACCCCCAACCCCACCCCTTTTTCTGGAGTAGCAAAACTGAATAGCAAATGCAGAGATAGTAACTGACTGAAATGTTACCTAATTAATAAAGTCAACAACCACTTCAACCCGACTAATTCTTTAAACTAATTAATTAAACTAATTAATAAAGTCAACACTATAAATATTTAAAAAAAAAGAGACTTACTTTATTATAAGTATTTTAATAGATTGACATTAAAAGATGTGCAATGAAAATATAACAATTCTACAAATGAATGTTTCAAAATGAAATTTTAAATTCCACGATTTTCTAAATTTTTGACTTTGTAAATTCGAACCAACCAATGTTCTGTTGTGTATGCTTCTTCCAAAACTTCAAGTTCGAAATCTTTATTTCCGATTTCTGTATTTCTTACTCTGTCATATCCAGTTGGTTTACCTGAAAGTAAAAACAAATGAAATGAAATGGTTTTTTTTGACCTCCTACTTTTGTACACATAATCTGATAGTACTAAATTACTCTTCCACAGGTCTTTGTTCAGAGTGAAATTTTGGAAGTTGACTATCCTATGTTAAATTGTCTAATAGAATACAGTATTTACAATTAAAAGATCTTGCGGAATACGGTTTGAGGTTTGTAAAAATTTGACGGATACCAATACATAGATAGGACACAATTCTATGGAAGACAATTACTGTTTGTTAACAGCTCGGTAATAAACAATAACTGATATAACCAACATAGTTCCAAACTTCCTCACTTGCTACTTGTACTTTTTTAACCAAAGATTAGATGCCAGGCAACAAAACATATGCCCACAGCAGCTAAATTGTCCAGGCAGTCGACAAAAGTTGTCAGATATTTTTACTTTTGTTGGTAATAAAATATTTATAATACATTAGCATGTATTATAAGGGCCATAACCCTGACAGTAATTATCGGAAATTGGTAAAAATCAATGTGCTTCTTAGTCTCATGACCTTAAACACTGTGTTTAAATTTAAAGTCAATCGGAAGAACAAGGGCGACGACAATATACGGCCACATTACAATGTGGGCTTATAAAAAGCAACCAATGTATTATTAACAAGAATGCTTACCTCCTTCCGTATAAACTGAACCAAATCTATAATAGCACATCTTATACATTAGACAGTTGAGTAATATAGGTGAACCATCTTTATCTACACGGAATTCACCTTGAGGTGTATAATAATCAGCTTCTTTAATATGGCTACCTCGATCTGTACTACCACCAATACGTACCATCCATAAAAATTTATTTATATCTGTAAAAACAAGCAAGTTATCTTACTGTTTGCTACAGAACACAGCAGTTGATGTACACACATATTTAGTTTTAATATTCAAATTTTGACAATGGACAATTCTGCTTTGTTTTCATTAAATGTGCTTTCAACAACTTTGATTCTTTAACCATGGAATATTTGTACACATCAGAACAGAATACTGTATTGGAAAATTCCGTTTTTCAATCATTCTTAAAGAAATTAGCCATAATGTTTATATCTTACCATCTGATGAATATCCTGTTAATCCACCAAATATAACTAAAACATAATCCACATCTAATTCTCTCATTATTTCATAGGCTTTATCTTCTGTTGATGCCATAGCCTATCAATAAATACACAACAATTCTTTACATAAAGTCCTGATTTGCCATTTAAAGCAACAGGAATCTAGTTCTCAGATATTTATTGTGATCAAGGGAAGTAACTCCATTAAACGCTTCATGAAAAGAGGCTATCATGTATGCAACCATGGATGGGAAACACTATTGATAATCACAAACGGCATTCCGCAATGATGGCGACAATTTTGCTGTCATTCTGTCTTTTTTACGATACAAATAGTATTCTCCGATTTAAATCACCATCAAAATCCAAGTTTTGACAACATGTATCAAATACCACCATAGATAATGCCCAATAGTCGCCAAAACAAAAACCGGCCGATTTGAAAACTTTTTCGCAGAACGTAACCTTCGTAAGTCACAGAATTATTCGGCTGTTATTTCAAAATCTTATTTAGTTTTAGTTTTTCTTATTAAGAGTTAAATAAATCCTAAATTTATAATAATTTTGTGTGCCTCTTAAAAATGAAAAAATGGCCAGATTTTTACAAAATAAAAACCAAAAAACAAAAACAATTTTTGTTCGTGTGTGGTCTTATTATTACCCCTTTTTCTTAGATATACAGTAACCCTCGCATAAGTCAGATTCGTATAAATTGGATCTTCGCTCAACTAGGATAAAATCGTTTGGACCCTTTGATCCTGCACAATTTTCTCATTAAATTTCTGTGCGGAAGTCGGATCTTCGTTAAACTCGGATCAAAATGTATGGTCCATTTGATCTAATTCCTGCTTTTTTCCTTCGCATACGTTGGATGGGCAGTATGTTCACAACATGCCGATAAAAATACGTCCCCCTCCGCCAAACAGCCTTGGATGACGCCATTGAGATCCCAATACAGGGCAGTGCACAAATTTGCAAAACTTGCATATAAGACGAAACGAAATTGAAATTTTTGAAAAAACTTGATTGTAATTGATCTAGGCATAGCAATAATTGACTTAAGTTCTGAGCTTTCAACGATTCTAATTTTTCCCCACATAAGCTTACCTAAATTTCGTTTCGTCTTATATGGCCGAGCCACGTAAATCTGTACGCCACCCCACATCTAGACCTCAATGGCGTCTGCGAAAGTCGTTTAGCAGAAGGGGACGCATTTTTAACAGCATTTTGTGTTGCACATACTGACTCTAGCGAGATAAGTAAGGTCTTATTTTCTCCCTAAAAAGTTCCTTTACATTGTTCAGGCGTTCATAGAGACTGACACACAACCGTTTAGCAGTAAAAAGTTGCCCAGTAAAATTGACAGGGAACCGATTTTATTTCGACAAGGATTCAATAGGACGGTTCCTGAACGTACAGGGCGATAATGAGACCTACGTTTAGAGCTGAACTTGGTCTCTGGCTAACTCGTATATTTGTGTAACTCGGATAAAATTGGCCAGTCCATTTACATCCGACTTAGGCTAAGTTTACTGTATTTATTGCTAGTAAATTGACAGACAGCTAAGCACTCCAGCTGGTCAATTTCACTGTCAGGCAGTCAAGACTGGTATATAGGGCTGAATCAAGATCCCTGGCAGAGTCCATTGTCAGGCCAGTGGTGGGGGGGGGGACTGAAATTCCAGAACTAATTGCAGGTAACATGGATTATGAAATTCTAGAGGCAGTTAACATGGATTAAAAGATTCTAGATGTAGGATTATACATTCACTTACCTGTCCAACTCGAGATATATGTGTATTATTCCAAGTATTATTATCAACTAACACTGTCCGATTAGCTATAGCAGTTATCTGATATCCATAATCCCACCAAGACATAATTTTAGCATTCTGAAATATAATTATAATATAATTTTACTTACAAGAGCTGCAATGCCTCAAAAGGCCAATAATGATTTTCCTTGTTTAAATTTACCAAAATAAAGGGCTATAAAGTTTTCTTTAGATAGTAATTTAGACGATTTTTTTATTACAAACTGTCAATGGTTTGTCTACGTGAACACCAAATTCAACACCATGATTATTTTTGTTCACTCCAAACAAGCCACACTTCCTTGTTCGACAAGTGAAGGCTGAGCTTGTAATATTCTGAAAATTCTCCTTGTGCCGTTCCAGGATGTATCCTGGACATTCATGTACCATGCAGTTTCCTGACTGCTTCTAATAGCTGAGTTGTTAGAGAGTGTATGTTGACATTTGTAATCAAAAACAAAATGAAATGGGTTTAACATCTTACTTTTCGGCCCCAGTGAAGATGGGTATATCATGAAGTATGTTATGTGATCTTTAATGTTCTGTCAATGGAAATGTAATGAAATGGGGGTTTAACGTCCTACTCCGACTGGGCTAATGAAGATGGGCATATGCCATACAGTGTGCTATGAAGAAAATTTTGCCTGGACAGTCGCGCTACAGCTTACACAAATATAGAATTCCAACTGCCAAGGGTTCTTTTACGTGCCATCCAAACGTCTATACATAGTCCCAGGCCCTCTGTCCTACACCATTGACAAGGGGGAACTACGCCGAAAGAATCCAGATGAACTTTCTCGACCAATACTAGGATTGAACACTGGTCCTCCAACATCTTATTCACTGAGCCACCCTGGCCATGTGATGTAAATGGCATATACAGGAGGGTTTTTTCTTGCTAGGCCATATGTCTTCCATTGACAAGGCCTAACCAAACTTGAGAGAGAGAGAGAAATGGGGTTTAATGTCTACTCGACACAACTAGGTCATTTCGGGACTAACATATGGTTTAATTTTATTTCAATAATTCGCTTGCGCATAGGGGTCTTTAGCAGTGGGAGGAAACCGGAGGACCCGGAGAAAACCCACGAGGTTGGACAGGCGACCCTACTCCTTGTCACGTACAACCGGGGATTCGAAACCATGCCAGTCGACTCAATGACAGACTTTATGATACAGCGCGCGCACGCTAACCATTCAGCCATCCAACCCCCCAACCAAAATTGAACCGTGAGTCTCATGGTTAGTGAGCTAGCATCATTCTCACCAAGCAAGCCACCATGGGTTCCTCATAATTATCACTTAATTTGTATGGCTGAATAAATGTATCATTTCTGCAACAATAAACCAAATTTATAGATAACTAGTGGTTGACCTGGCGTAGCATGGGTATAGCCATGAACCAGAAGTGGTAGTCCATCGCCACCAGGCACATGTTACTCCCTAGTCCAAATTCAGCCTGGAGGCAGCCCTAGTATAGATGCCGAGAGAGAGAGAGAGAGAGGTTTAATGTCCACGGGACACAAACTAGGTCATTTTGGGACTAACACATGATTTAATTTCATTTCAATAATTCGCTTGCGCATAGGTGTCTTTAGCAGTGGGAGGAAACCATAGTCCCGAGAGAAAATCCACGAGGTTGGACAGGCGACCCTACTCTTTGTCACATACAACCGGGGAATCGAAACTCCGCCAGTTGACTCAATGACAGGCCTTATGATACAGCGTCCACGTGCTATCCATTCGGCCATCCAACCCCCCAGAACAGACAAACCAACGACAGTCACAAATATCAGTATAGACAATATCTTACATAATGTGTATTTTGTCTCAACCAGTAATAAGCTTCACGGAAATCATCAAATATAATTTTGCCATTATCTCCACCTCTAGCTGTTAAAACAATAGACGGACTGCTGTAAGCTTCTGATGTTACCCACGTACAGTGGAACGTATACATTATCAAAAACGATGTCATGATCATAATAACGCCGGTCGCAATCTGAAAAATAAGAAAATTTAAATTAAGTTCAGAATAGGTAGACTATAAAAATGTCTGTGATTCTAATAGACAATGTAGTCCCCACTTGAATTAAGTTCAGAATAGTTAACATTACAAACTGGTTACGATACTAGTTATGGTAATTTAAGGCCGTACAAAAAAAATATTCTGGTTCTGAGACAATCTTTACCAAAAATACAGGAGGGAGGTGTTTATTTTGTCAAAGGATCGATACTGGGCTAAATGACTCCTCATAACCATCACATTTCAAGGCACTACATTTAGTCCATGTTATTTATAGCAATGTATGATTATCCAGTATCAATTATGATTGCCAATAACATTTATCAGGGATGCGTACTTGATAAAGGAGCCTACTGCACATTAATGGATTCATTCTAATTTTTTTTATAGAGTTAATTTCTGTAACGGGATAAACATTTACATTTGGTTAATTAAAGAGACTTGTTTTTATTTTTAATTTTTTAAATAAAAACAAGTCATGCAACCTTTTTAAGTGATGCAGAATTATCTGTGAACCTGACAACTTTTTTTATATGGCCTAATTAATTATATGTTCGAAAATATTAGTTACCAAAGTAGAAATGAAATGAAATGGGGTTTAACGTCCTACTGTTCTGCTCCGAATTGGGCTAATGAACACGGGCATGGCATGCCATACAGTGTGCTATGAGGGAAACTCTTATATCGAATTACAAAAGTCAAGGGATGTATACACAGGACCTCGGTTTTTCGTGCCATCCGAACGACTAGACAGCTGTCCTTATCAGGCCCTCCGTCCTGCAGACATTGTTATGTAAAACCAGAACGGTTTTGGGAAAGCAGTAACCAAAACTAAATTTTCAGACAGCTTTAAAGAAAGTGATAGTAAAGAGTATTAATGTTAGGTCTTTTTTTAAAACTCACCTCATTTTTCAAGGGGTAAGTATTGTCCGATTTTTTCTGTTTTTTATCTTTCTTTGTTGATACATCCAGATTCTTCATGTACGTATTTAAGACAGACGATACTCCAATACCAGATAATATACACATAACAGGTGCTAACACCAACATTAAACGCACCATGACACCCTAAAATAACATTCATTTCATTCATTTACGAAGACCAAAAACTTGTCTATGATATCAGTACTATGGAAGCAGACAATAACCCACCAGCAACTACTACAAATGACGAAAATAAACCTATTTCTTTTCGTCTTTATGCTTCTGATTTTGTAAACTACACAAGATCTTATATGTATTCAGAACAGCTGCATCTGCTCGCGACATAAGTGAGGTTATGAACAGATCATTTCACGATGCCTTGGCACAATTGAAAGCTGTGTTTTCATTTGGCTGTTTGCAGTAAAAAGGCGTCGGATATCAAGTGAAACTGATTTTGTTTTTTTGTACCATCTGATCGACTAGATGCTTTTCCTCGAGGAACCGTCTTGTCTAACTCCAGGACTCAACCCCTTTGGATGAAATGAAATGGGCTTGAACACCCTACTGTTCTGCCCTAAATTTTGCTTAGACAGCAGAGTTTTCTACTACAGTCCATCGAATTCCAAATGTTGAGAGTTATTTTTACGTGTACGCCAACGTGTACCCTGGATTATCCGAACCACCAGACACCATTCCTTACCAGACAGTGCGTCTTGCAAAACTGACAAGGGGAGATAACAAATTGGGGACAACACAACACGCTGGAAAATCTCGAGGTACTCTATCAACCAACACCAGGATCAACCCCTGAACCTCCTGGTTTGTGAGCCAGCATCCCCCCCCACCTTTTGGATGGACCTGTAGTGTATTGGTGAACATGGATAATGAACCATAAATATTAGTATTAAAAGAATTTATACATACTGAGAAATAGATACTGGTAACACCATAAATAATAATAAATATATTAGCATCAGTTAATTTAGAGAAACAGTAATAGAGACCAACTGAAATATATCAAACATCATTTTCATTAAATATCACAGAATCAAAAATTAAAAAAAAGAGAGAGAAACTTAGAACATTTTGGGACTATCATATGGTATATATTTTTCAATAAATTGCCTGTGCGCAGGAACTATAGATGCAGGAGTAAACCAAAAGACCCAGAGAAAACCCACAAGGTAAGACAGGCGGCTTATTAAAAGATCCTAAAATATTCAAAATGTATAATTTAAGTGTGAAAAACATTTTCAAACAACTCTTCTAAATGTCGATTTATCATTAATTAAGCTTCCTAACGAAATGAAATGAAGTTTAACGACCTACTATTCTGCTCCGACTGGGCTAATAAAGACGGCCATGCAGTGTGCTACAAGGGAAAATATGCCCGGACAGCGCCGCCACAGCCTACTCTTATATCAAATTACAACTGTCAAGGGTTCTTTTATGTGTTTGCCAATGGGTACCCAGGATCTTAGCTTTTCGTCCCATTCAAATGATATGTTGTCCCTTGCCAGGCCCTTCGTCCTACATCACTGACATGGGGGAACCACCCCAGCAAATCCCAATGATCTTTCCCCGCCAATACCAGGATCAACACGGGACCTCCAGGGCCCCGTTTCTCGACATCTTAACTAAAGATAAAATCCAAATTTTAGTAGATACTTCAATTTTGATTGGCTAAGCACTAAAATCAATCTAATATTATGAAATCAAATTACTGAAATTTGGATTTTATCTTAGTTAAAATTTCGTGAAACAGGCCCCAGATTAGCCAATGCGGCTCCCGGATCCCTTACAATGTTTTAGTGTGGGGCTTTTTGTATATACGTACCAGGAAACATGAAGACTAATAACTGCAGATCAAAATAGAAGGAACTCCAGGCTGTAGGCTGATGTTCAGATACAGAAGCAATAATAGGAATGTTATTCTTCGCATAAGATGGATCCAACAGGGAGTAAAATCGACCAGTCCATGGAGAAATTTCTATTCTATGTTAAGGAGTTTAATTTCAATTTTAATGCCCGAAATAAAGACATAATCATAACAAACTCAAAGTGGAAAGTTGTCAAGTCTGCAAAAAGATTCTTCCCCTTACACACAGTGAAAGAACATTCAGAATATTCATTGATCAATTATTTTTCATCCCAAAAAATGAACATTTTCATGATCATCGTATCTTCTACCTTTTAAATCAAATGGGGTTTAAAATTAGCACACACCGTGGTTGGTGCAGAAAAGTATGGCGTTAAACACTAATTTGTGTGATTACTACTAATGAAAAGAAATAAGGTTAACGTCCTATTGTTCTGCACCGACTGGGCTAATGAAGATGAACATGCGCTATGCAGTGTGCCCAAAGGGAATTTTGCTGGGACAGCGGCGCTACGGCCTACTCTTATATCGATTTCCAACTGTACATGGGACCTCGGTTCTCCACCCATCCACTGACAAGAGAAAACCACCCTGAAAAATCAGGGAACTCCTGTTTATTTAAATCAGCGCCTTACTCACTAAGCCACCGTGGCTCCCAATAATATTACTAGAATTATGAGTTAAATCAAAGTAAGAATGATTATACTATAGAATTAAAAAGTTAAATCAGTCCAGTGAGAACATATAAAGCCCAATAATGATTTCAATAAAAGGATACTTCCAGCAGCTGTAGCAACTGCAGCAGCACCAAACATAACAGAACCAGAGATCAAAACTAAACTCTTAAACAACAAGTTAAACTGTTCAACAGACAGCTTACTTCTTAAATAATCAACAAAAGCATGAATCTGGCACAATCCAAATACACCCAAAGCCTGAAAAAAAAAAAAAAAAAAAAAAAAATAAAAATGTATGTCATTATGGTCCACTTTAATTATTAATAGCTTAAAATGATATCAATAAACCAGTTAACTTACCTATATCCTTTTAAATCTTAGATATAGGAAAAATAAAACGAAAGTAATTATTTAAAATCTCATCTGTTTTACATACTAATCATTCTATGGAATACAATTACTCAATCTGATTAAAATACAGATCTATATTTCGTTTCGTTTTTTTATACTTTCGATCATACGATTGACTTTTGACCCTATGACGTCAGACATTGATTAATCAACCAGTGTTACGTTTCTAGTGGTTTACCCAAAGTTCCGTGCACAGTAAGCCAAAAACTCGTCGTAACTGACTGCTTCATTCCAGACCCTGGTGTAGTGAAGACAAGTAAAACAAAATTTTGAACTATAAAAAACGAAACGAAATAGTATCTATGTTTTAGTCAGATGATACAATGACTGTTTATTACTGAGCAACGTTTCGTATGTTTCTCTATTCTTTAGTAAGCAATGATACAATATAAAATATGTATTTCTATTTCAATTATGAAATGGCACTGAAAAAATTTATCTTCAGTTCTACTTGAAAGCTAACAAACACAGCAAGTTGGAAGAAAATCTGAAAAACTCTGTGGAGTCATAGAGTATTTGTTTCACGAATATGACTTACGATGACCTACAAGGGTGACAACAGTTTAATCCTACATGAAATGTTGATATATCTTTTTAATGTATACTACTAAATACTCAAATTAACTAAATACTTACAGCCATGTGTTCACTAGATTGAACTGGTTGGAATCCAACAAAAGCTATCTGCATCGACAATATGGTTCCAATACAATATACCTAAAAAAGATTTTCATCATATTAGCTTGTTTACACATATCAATATCCTTGAAAATTTTGAAAAATGAAATATGGAAAATTCTCATCAGAAAATTATCAATTCCAAAGACTATGTTAATGTAGTCCTACACACAACCCAAACAAGAACTCGACACAAACTAGGTCATTTCGAGACTAACATGGTTCAATTTTATTTCAATAATTCACGTGTGTGTAGGGGACTTTAGCATTGGGAATTGGGAGGAAACCGGCGGACCTGGAGAAACTCCACGAGCATGGACAGGCGACCCTACCCCTTGTCAAGTATAAGCAGGGAATCGAAACCATGCCACTCGGCTACCAGACCCCTCCAATACTAAGCTTGAATAATGAGTAACTGTGTGTAGGACAGGCTATGTACAACTTTGTGACAGCAATCTGATTACATTCAAAAGAGTAGACATCTTTCTGAGATAACTTTTCCGAATTGTGAGACTCAAAATTATATAATAAAGATATATAGTGTGTAAATGTTGAAATACTTACTGATGAGTAGGCAACATAGATTCTGTGAGAGAATCGTCCAGTAAACATGAGAATAAGAACATGGAGTGGAATCAAGTTGATGAGAAAAACATATCCTCCCCATGATGATACCTACAAACAAAACAATATAAATATAATATACTTTGATACAAAGGGGATGCCCGATTGTCAGTCAGGAATAGAGTCCTGTCACAGTTCTCTCAGTCCTGAGGGGGTATGAGTAGAATCATGACATAAATAAACACAACGAATATGTCTCAGCTGTCATGGTTGGTCGATATGGTTTCTTATCCAGTTGACGTATGCGTTGTAGCCGAAATCCCCCCTTTCACTTGATTTTCACTTGAGTTGAGTATAGTAAAACTTATAATGAAATATATCAACAATTCAGTTTACATAATCAGTCGAATATAAGGCCATATAAAAAAATATTCTGGTTCTCCCAGATACCACAGCATCGCATAAAGTGTATGATACGTTTTAATTTCACATCCCTTACCCTTCATTGATAACCATACTTCCTGTGGTAAAGGGAGATAACTGTCAAACATTTACAGTTCAATTTGTCGACTTGGCTCCAATTATTTATTACACTACCTGATAAATGTTACTGACAATCATAAATGATACTGGATAATCATAAATGTATGGCAACCATTGATCCGTCTGCTTAAGATCTTTTTGGTCCCTTCTTTTGAGGATGAAAATATTTCCTGCAAACTACAGAATCTGTGCTATTTTCGACCGAGAAGAGATACAGTTACTGCATGTAATTAATCTAGTTTAACAGTCAACATATACAAAACTTACCAATCTCTAAGGGAAAATAGAATCGCATAGAGCTTACTAAAGATTTTATTTCGGTGTAAATCAAAGGGGCGCTGCTACTTTAAATGTAATTGCTGTTCATATATTTTAAAACTTACCATGTAAAAATAAGCTAAAGCACAGAGAACAGACCAGAATAGAGATCCTGTCTTGGCGGCTTTTACCCACAGTGTATAGGTCAACAACATACAGAAGATAGCAATTCCTTCGTTGTCATAGGAACCAGCTACAGAACGGGAGATATAACCTGGTACAATAGCTAACATAGAGGCTGCTACTAAACCTGCTCCAGCATCCTATAATACATACATATAATTATATTAACCCAATTGTTACTGGTTGATATGGTTACCAGCTTCCTGTGCATATCATAAGCTTATTTAATAATAACCGGTCCCACCGAAGGTTTACTGATAAAATGGGGTTTAACATCCTACTTTTCTGCAATGACTGGGCTAATGAAGATGGTCATCTGTGCTATGTCATACAGTGTGCTATGAGGGAAATTTTTCCCCCGACAGTGGCGGTATGGCCTAATCTTGTATCAAATTCTAACCCTCAAAGGTTCTTTTATGTGGCCCCATCTGAACAACTTGGCACCGTCTTTGGTCAGTCCAGGGACATATGGGTATGAACAATATCATTTTTCTCTAATAAATTTCGAGGAACTTGGGTAGTCAAAGGGTTAATCTATTTTAAAAAGATCTTTACTTACTTTAAGTTCCTTGGTGAACAAATATGTAACAACTGTTGTAAAGCTAGCAAACAGTGGTGCCAGGAACACACAAACATTTCTAACATTAATTGTAATATTTATAAAGTTTAAAACGTTATAAATTGCTGCTGATGTTACCATTAAACCTACAATACACATATAAAGCAATGAATTTAACCATAAAATCTTTTAAATATACTGAAGAAAACCCATAATGCTGATGAGACATAATGAATCTGAAATGTGATTATTGGCATGAATGTAAACTGGACATTTACACAGAGAGAGAGAGAAGTTTAAAATCCCCACAACACAAACTAGGTCATTTTGGGACTAACATGGATCAATTTTATTTCATGTCTTTTAGCAGTGGGAGGATAGCGGAGGACCTGCAGAAAACCCACGAGGTTGGACAGGCGACCCTACTTCTTGTCAGTGCAAGCTGGGAAACAAAACAACTCCACTGACTCTATGACAGACCTTATGATACAATGCGCACACGTTAACAATTCGGTCACCCACCCCCCTCCACTAAAATTTATAAGCACTTCAAAATATATCTAAAACTTGGGATAATGCTAAATATTGTCATATTCCCAGAAACGTATGGTTGCCAGGCAATGAAACATACACCCATGGCAGTTAAGTTGTCCAAGTAGTAAACAAGGCAAAATCTCTACACAGTGTAATATACATATTCATGTAAATGCTGACATTCGTTTCTTCATCTGGAGAAAACATATCAAGTTGGGCAGACAACTCTACTCCTCGTCACATACAAGCTTGGGATAGAAACCATGCCACTTGACTCAATGACAGACCTTATAATCTATAGTAGGGATGGCCAACCTCCAGTGCATGCTCCAAACATGATGAATTGGATGAATAACAGTGGTGCATTGTATGATAAGGAGGGGCCGCATTGCATCCTACTAATAAAGTAATGCAGTAGGCATACTCATTGTGCACATCCTTAGGAGTAGCAAATGTTTATCTTCTTTCACATTAGGGGGTCACGTTGGCCAAGTTGGTAAGACGCTGGCTCGCTAGCCTGCAGGTTGGGTGTTTGATCTCTGCATTGGCCGAGAAAGTTCATCCTGGTTTTCCGGTGTGGTTCCCCCATGTCAGTGATGCTGTTTAGTCGTTTGTATGGGATGAAAAACTCAGGTCCTGTGTACACATTGCCAGTGATGCTGTCTAGTCGTTCGGATGGGACGAAAAACTGAGGTCCTGTGTACACATTGGCGTGCACGTAAAAGATCCATTGACAGTTGGAATTCGATATAAGAGTAGGCCATAGTGCCACTGCCCCTGGAAAATTTCCCTCATGGCGCACTGTATGACGTATACCCGTCTTCATTTGCCCAGTTCGGAGGAGAACAGTTCAACCCCATTTCATTTCATTTCTTTCACATTAATCTGTTTTCAGTTTAAAATATGGTTAATGAATATAACTACCGTATTTTTCGGTGTACAAGGCGCACTTTTTTTACCAGGTATTTTATTTTCTAGAAGGGGTGCGCCTAATACATAGTATTAAGCAAATCTTGGCTTTTCTGTGTGTCAACATCAAGGTCTGAAGTTGATCATATCGACAACAGCAATAAAGATGGCGGCCATTTCCCATACCGATATCCCGTATACCGTTAGTCATAGACGACAGTGGCAACAATATGGGTCAATAGCGGTTTAGTGTTATTAAAATATCTGCAAAGATATCGTAAATAATTAGATGACATATTTTTCTGCTATTCCGACATTCCGATGTCGTCATTTTTCGTGCAATAAATATGGCGGCCATTTAAGATACGGTATCGGCTTTTCCGTATACCGTTAGTCATATTTCTATTATTCCGGCTTTTCCGTATACCGTTAGTCATAAACGACAGTGCTAACAATATCTGCAAAATTCTCGTTAATATTTCTATTATTCCTGCGTATTTGATGACATATATTTCTGCTAATCCGTTTACCGGTACAGTTAGCCACTGTCGCAATCCAAACAGTGTGTCGTCAACGGTGATATCAGTCAAGTTGACGAAAAGGCGGGGCTTACGACAGACAAAGAGTTTTCATGGCTATTAGAAGGGTAATTTCCATTGAGCACACGCTCATTATACCATAGGCTATGGGTATTGTCTGTTACAATGACAGCGTTAATGGGCGGGATTACAGTTAAACTGACAGAATACCAATTCTCTCTCAATTTGAGGATAACGTGCGGCGCTCCACCTATTCGCTTCTTTACTAGGTTTCATGTCGGTAAGTTTCCCCTTCATCGCCCTCCAACGTCTCACGTTTGACTCCCCCAAACTAAATTCACGACCCGCGGCCCTATTACCGTGTGCTTCAGCGTAACTAATTACCCTCAACTTCTCCTTAGCGGTATAAGCGGTTCGTCTCGTAGCCATTCTGAATAAATAATTTTTAAGAATGATGGAATGTTCACTGGTGTTTTATATACATCGGGCTGTTTTCTTTGAGCAAGACTGTCTTTTAGTAACCGTTTTAAGTTACCGACGGTTTTCATTCAACATGGATTCAGTGATTGGCCCATTGTTATAATTTACCGGTATAGTTAATTATCTACCAGTGAGTTGTTATCATTTTCTTTATGAAGTCGTTTGTAGTTGACAAAATCATTGTTTCTTTGATTGGTATTAAAAATGCTATTGTATTATTTTACCGGTATAGTTAATTATCTACCAGTGAGTTGTTACCGTTTTCTTTATGAAGTTGTTTGTAGTTGACAAAATCATTGTTTTTTTGATTGGTATTAAAAATGCTATTGTATTACAGTTCCTACCAAATTTTTGAGACCAGAATCGCGCCGACGCGGCGAAAAAAAACACTCCGAATTCTCTTAGATTTCACGGTGAAATTTCGCTTAATTCCGCGGCGATTTTTCTCTAAGATTCGCCGTGTTTTTCTAGGAATTCGCCGTGTTTCTCTAGGAATTCACCGTGTTTCTCTAGGAATTCACCGTGTTTTCTCTAGGAATTCACCGTGTTTCTCTAGGAATTCACCGTGTTTCGGTAAAAGTACATCGTGCTTTGCCGTGCTTCCCGCAAGGAATTTGCGAGCCTACCTTAAGCTAGGGTCGAACTAATATTGTCTATAATACATTTGTAAATTGAAGGGGTTGTAATATAGTAATGCTCCCGGGAATATGTTTAAAGTACAGGCCGATTTGAATAACAAATGAGTTAGGTAATCTCGGGGAGACATTTACCGGCATTCTGTATAGGTTAGGATTTTTTTCCCCAACGCACTGTATACATGTACATACATAACGCCGGCGAAAATGTATGCCAAAATAAACAACTTACAATTTTTTAAACGTATCATTACATCTTCGTCTATAACTTAGATGTAACCCACCAATTATTGGCTGCTATCAAATCCAAACTTTAAATTATATATTTGTACGATGAGATTTTACACACTACTTCATAACCCGCAGCTTCAGTTAAACTAAATCAACGCCCCATAAAGCACAGCGCCATAAATCACTTCCGCAATGCGTTAGTCACGTGGTCAGAAACGCGCGAAAACCTGAGCTGTTGGGTTCGACACGGGGACTATATTCTTAGCAAATCTTGACTGTCACCGGTATATGATAACAATGTATTATGACGTATTAAAACAATTCACCATGAAGCACATCAAAGACAATCAGTTAAAACAACGATAACTGAGTAGTGATTAATTCGTATTATCTGTACTCATCCGTGTTAATAGCTGCAATAATTCTTAATCACGGCTACAATTGATACTCTATTCGGGGCTTTGAGCAAGTAAAATTAGGTTTAATTACAAAATGATGACAGTTTGCGTGGAAATAAGTAATTATGTTACAGTTATTCTGTATTTTCTAGCAAAACGGAAGACATCAGTAGTGGACTACTCGAACCAATAATAAAGAGTTGTTTTAATAAATTGATAATTGTGTTTTAATATGTATCTGTTTTCTTTGAATTAATAAAGTGTTATGTATTACCCGTGGTATTTTGTCACAATGAAGCAAAACCAAGATGTTTTCTTAGGGAGCCAGACTTTGTTTGTATATAGAAGAGCTTGAATCTGATGATTACATTGTATTAACCACCTGAATGGGTCAAATTTAAACAATGACATGGCTTCCTGTAGATTTGTCGAAAGCCTTTGTCTCTTAGCTTGGTGGTTGAGAAGTATTATCGTTTGTTTTATATAAAATTAATTGGAGTAAATAGAATCAAAGAACTTTTGCCGATACCTTGTACGTATAAATGGCAGGTTATAGTCGAATGGTTTATTTCGAGATTATTCAATACGACAGGTTATCATTAATTCAATACGGCATCATGTGGAGAAATCAAACCAAGGAGTACTCGCATTATCTGGTTAAGTTTGACGACGGTGGCTTACTGATTGTTCCCAGAAGTAGGATATTAGAAGAGGGTAGGATTGCGGAGAATGGGAAGTACAAGGTGCAATATAACAAACCCGAAGATGTGTCTGACGCTGTTATTATAAAGACTGGAGACTACTTGACATTGTCAAGGCTAAAGAGGGAGATGGGACAAAAGAAGAAAGATGAGCATCAAAAGAACCCCAGTACAATCCCGACACCAAAGCGTACCTTAACGACGAGTCGCTTACCCCAACCGAAAAGAAAGGTAAATAGTTTTCACAAAAACAACATAACAAAAATATACAACAATTTAATAATTTTATTGCAATCGTTTTCTGACTTTAGGGTCGTTTAGGAGTTTTTGATTAAAATGATTACTGTCCTTCCCGAATGAACGTTCGGACCCAAAAAGTCTTTTAGGCATATCAGCCGTGGCTTTCCCACCCACCACCACAACAACCGGAACAACCTTGTACATGTGATCAATAAAGCGATTACATATGTCACGCGTAAGCACGTTGTACCAAAAGTCTTGGCAGTAATTACAGAGTTCTTCTTTTGTGGTAGACAAAATATTTTTTAAAAAGAAGAAAAAAAAGGTGTTTGCGATGGATTTGAATACATTGTTTACCAAGTGTCAAGACTTTATGTGAGTAAATACATGTACTAACTGCAATAAAAAATGAATTCACTTTTAGTGCATGTATGATTATTAAATTTTGACTGTAAAATATTATGATTTGTATACATTGTGCATATGTATTACATGTACATGTTTAACCTAATTTCGATTTTCAATAAAAATCATGTCAATGGAACCAAAAGAATATATTGTATGATTATTTAATTTTGACTGTAAAATATTATGATTTGTATACGTTGTACATTTGTATTACATGATTAACTTACTTTCGATTTTCAATAAAAATCATGACAATGGAACCAAAAGAATAAAATGCTACCCAAAACATCTCTTTAATTGTCGGTTATGGATTTATTATGCAATATCGATGCAGGTTCAATCACGAAACTTGCGCTTACACCGTCTAGTATAGCTTTTGAGCTGCTGATATGTATATGCAGTAGAAAATCGGGAAGTTGAACGTACGAAGGAATGGAATCATTCAGAAGTGTACTCAAAATAAGTAAATTATAACGGGGTGATGACGAGAATTAACACACGTGTGGCCATTGTATAAATATATGCCATGTACGCGTCTGTGTGAAATGGCTTTATTTAATATCCGCTTCTACCGAAATGAAATGAGGGGCACCCAGTAGATGTATATTGTCACAGTACCCCTTCCCACCCATATTGTTTTAATGCGTCATAATACATTGTTATTATGTACCGGTGACAGTCAAGATTTGCTAAGAATATAGTCCCCGTGTCGAACCCAACATCTCATGTTTTCGCGCGTTTCAGACCACGTGACTAACGGTTAACCACATTGCGGAAGTGATTTATGGCGTTGTGCTTTATGGATTTAGTTTAACTAAAGCTGCGAGTAATGAAGTAGTGTGTAAAATCTCATCGTATATAATTCAAAGTTTGGATTTGGTAGCAGCCAATAAGATGAAATGATACGTTGTAAGTTATTCATTGTTTACATACGCCGTACACGGTGGCACCACGTTATACATGTACAGTGTGTTAGAAATAAAAAAATACGACCGTAGCTGCCTCGCCAACGGTTAACATATCTTGTATTCAACTTAAATAAATTACATTTTCCGTCAACATGCTTACATCGGGATGATATCGGCACTCAAGCGATTCACCGTGTTCCACCGCGAAACACTATAATTCACCGTGAAACACCCTATTTCGCGGTGATTTGGCAAGCTGCCGTTTCGCTAGCGATTCTCCGAGATTCCACCGTGAAATAGAGTGTTTTTCCACGGTGTTCGGTGTTTCTAGTCTCAAACTCCAGACACGTAGTGTATTTTACTGATAGATCTAAATGGCTACAATCTGGGTATTGTCATGACGCGTGGAGTGGGCGGGGCAACAGACGCTATCGTTTGTCAGTTGTTTGCATAACTTGGAGTAAACTGGAATTGTTGTTTCTCTTTTACCGGTAGTCAGGATTTAAGTTGTGAGTAGCTGATCATGATATATTATTTCTACAGGTATTATTTAATTTGTTTATCATCAAAACCGATTCATTTATCACAGACAATTACTCACGAATTTAACACGATGTTATTGACGGCCATGTTTGTTGTGGGCGGGACTTGAATGACAATTTCACTACCGTACGAGCAACAGAATTACAGCTGAAAGTTATGCAATAATGCAATTGCGTGTTATAATTTATATAAACAAATGTAACAAAAGCAATTTATTTCATAAAGAAATATAATTATATAAAGCTTGATACGGCTAAATATCGGTAATTATTATAACTGTAAACAATAGAGTTTGACCTAGTTACTGGAGATCGCAGGTGGATTTGAGTCACATATGTTATGGCACGAGTTTCACACGCGCTGGGAAAGGGTGCGCCTAAGCCACGCATATTTTTTTTTTCCTGAAACACCTCTGCCAAAGTCACCCTGCGCCTTATCTACGCATGCGCCTTATACACCGAAAAATACGGTAGAAAAGATGGACTTTTGTTCTGCAATAGTCCCATAACACGAGTTACAAGGCATTATCTGAAATGGAATGAAATAGGGTTTAACATCCTACTCTGGCTTGACTAATGAAAGCGTATCTAAATTTGTGTGCAAAAAAAATGGTATGTAAAATGTTTGCCACCCCAGAGCTAAAGCATGTGTGTTAGGTCACCTGACCACCCGCGGAAGAAAATCCTGGTCTATAACAAATTAACAATCTTACCTGGGTAAATAGTACCACCAATAATACGACCTAAAGGATACCAAGCTCGGTCATCAAACCAATTATGAAAATTGTAAAATCCTTTTTCCGCAAGAAAGAGTGTTGTTCGGTAGTTGAAGTAAGGATCAAATTCATGAATAACACTTTCGAACTGGAGTACTGAAAACAGTCTGGTGGAAAAGGCTGGAAAAATACATATTCATCAATACAATTACTTTCAGATAAATGGAAAGAAATTTCGACTAAAATAAATATACTGTCATAAAAAGTGATACCGTTGCATAACTTTTTGTGTTTTAGTAATCATCTAGTACCATACTAAAACAATTTTTACAATGCATAACCCGGAAGCAAACCTCATTTCAACTTCAACAAATTCAGATACTGCCTTTAATTTCGTTAGGGTTACTGCCAGTTACTGTTTGTAAACATCCAAGCTACTTTAATCTAGAATAGCTGGTCTTCAAACTCTTAAATATTGGTACATGGTTTTAGGTTACTACATCAAGTAAGCGGTTGGATTGAAAAAAAAATTATATAGCATTTCATCTTTAATAAATTCAGACAGTGCTTGTAATGTCATTGGGGTTAGGCCTTCTGTCTGTCATGGCTTGTAAACAAACCCATTTAACGTCCACTGACACAAACAGGACTAGCATATGATTCAATTTTATTTCAATAATTCACTTGCGTGTAGATGTCTTTAGTAGTGGGAGGAAACCAGAGGACCCAAAGAAAACCCATGAGTTTGAACAGGCAAACCTACTCCTTGCCACGTACAACCAGGGAATCAAAACCATGGCAGTTGCTTTAATGATAGACTTTAGCATACAGCGTGCGCTAACCATTCGGCAACCCAACCCCCTCCCCTTGATTATAACTTCAACACTTTACAAAAGGTGGATAAGTGCAATAACTACTTTTTAGAAAAATTTTTTTTGACTCCTCAAATAATCTGTATATTAATATTACAAATTTGGTAAGCATTTTATGTAAGAATGAATGAAATGCTTTACCTAAAATAGCAGCTATTGTCAGAATCATCAACTTCAACAAAGTATCCTGTTTTTGGGGAGACATACGCAACAACCAGCCTGCCCCAAAGGGCGCACTTGACGTCTTCATTTTGAACTTCTCAATTTAATAACACTGAAAAACAGAAAAATAAAATTAATTAACATACATGTATACTGTTTGGGCATATCAAATATTGTATGACTCTAAAATGCTATAGTGGCTCGGTCATTACGTCTCATTAATCTTGTTTTTTGGGGTTCGATTTAGGTGTTGGCTGGAAACGTTCCAGTCTAGTTTCCATTGGTCAAGAAGTGCAGGTCAGAGACCCTGAGAAGGAAAAATTGCCTAGTTATTTGGATGGATGAACAAACATGGTTCTTGTGTCGTACCAACTGATGTAATGGAACCCTTAACAGTTGGAAATGGATGAAGATTAAGTAGAAATGACCCTGTTCTGGCAAAATCTCCCTAATAGCATAGCCTACTGCAACGTGTATGACAATGTTAGTGCTGGGTATTGCGACAGTCACAATACGCATTGTAATTCAGGTGCTACGATACAATTCACGTCGCGATTCATTACCAGGTTATTTTTTACCAACAAAACAACAGGATAAATGAATAATTTAATTTTATATGAGTCAATGCAATTACTGTTCAGGTCAAATCAAAATAAGGACCAAGACAATTTAAGAGTGTTTGTGTACCTATGGAATAATGTGTAACCTGGATAATTAAGAGTGACAGGTTAGTTAGAATGATATTGGGTTAGCTACGGTACTTTAAAAGACTATATAGCAGTAGCTAGTATCATGTGTATACTGTATCAGTGTATGTGAATATCCTTGCATATTATATTTCAAAATACAAGAAAAATATCGATTTTTCATACTTATCATAACTAGCCTGTTCTACTGATTGGTGGGTTATGGGATAGTTAAAATTATCAAAAGCTAGCAATATCAACTGGATAGGCTACCGGGCCTAGACTTATCACTTTGCATGATTGGTGTTTATGACATGCCACATCAGCAAAGAAACGGGTGTCTGATGGGTTTTGCAAGGCAACTTTTTGTTGTTTATTATCCTTTGAATGATGAAATAACAGAGATCATATGATTGAAAACTAAGTTCTAAAAGTCTAATATAAAATGCGGGTATTGAATGGCGTATGTAACAAAAACCTCAGTATTGTAATTATCATGAAGAATATCGCTGAATATTTCACCTGAAACCGGTCACTTCTCACAGCACTTCCACCATTAGCATTCTGATTGGTTTATTGCGAACGTCTGATTGAGCGAGACTATGCAAACGGTGATTACATATTTCAAACCCAGTTTTAAGACTTCATTTGAAAAAACTGAATTTAATACTCAGACATTTTATTTTAATCTGTCATTACCGCGATTTAGCTCGTTTTTAACTGATGACATTTTGTAGCTCCTTGTAATATAATATGCAATAGATCACGCAGTAATAATAGTCCTGATAATAATACAAAAGAAAAATATATAGATAGCCTAAATAAATTGTATATATACTGTAATATCAAAAAAGGTAGGCTTAAGTTAAAACTTAAACGTCTGCAGAAATCGAGGATTCTAAGTACTACTAAGTAGTTAGTTCAGCTCTGGGCCCTGTTTCACAAAAACTTAAATCTCCGTAAGTTTTTGTGAAACAGGGCCCACAACGTATATAGTATAGGTCTCATTACACTCACCAAGTACGTTCAGGAACCGACCTATTGAATCCTTGTCGAAAAAGTTACATGGAACGCTCTCTGGAATAATAAATGTAAAAACGTAAAAAAAAGATTTTCGGAATTTAGGGAATTAAAAAATAATCTCGAACATTGTGAGTGGATAATAGCGCATGGTCTCCAGATAAGAATATGGCGACGCCGTTTGATTTCGTGCAATGTGTCTAGCCTCGTTCCTCGAGTCTCTTGTTACAACATGGGACTGAAACGCATTATGGTACACGTTTCGTGTACCAACGGTAAAATGTTTATTTTGTCTTAAATATTGGATATCAGAAGCCCATCTTTTTCGGTAAGATCACAGCATCAATGTTGATTTAAATTGACTAATAATTCGTGTTTTCAATGTTGAAGATTTTGGATGATATTGAGTTAGAGACTTAGCTACTTTAAATTCTTCTCTTAATGCAATCTGATTAAAATATAGATCTATATTTCGTTTCGGTTTTTTTATATACTTTCGATGGCCTACACTACATGAAGATCTGACAAGTTGTACTATAAGGTTGTGTCAGGGGTCGTACGAGCGGCTTTTGACCCTATGACGTCAGGCATCGATTAATCAATCAGCGTTGACGTTTCTAGTGGTTTACCCCGTACAGTTCCGTACATGGCAACTTTTATTTACCAGTTTTCTTAAATACTTCTGGTTTGATTATTTGGAAAAAATGCTGATTCGCGTCTGATCTCTGTGTTATAAACATGTATTTCAAGTTTCATCAAAATTGGATCAAAATTATGACCTCTAGAGGGTTCACAACCTTGATATACCATATTTTTCACTATTCGCGTACGAGGGGCGGCCATATTGTCCGGCAGTATTGGTCCGATTTTCACGAAATTCGAACTCAAGCGTCACTCCACTGTAACGGTGATATATTCGAAAGGTTTTTGTTTTTTAATCGGATAATAATTGTGACCTCTAGAGGGACCACAAGCTAAAAAACGCGATTTTTCGTACAATCAGGGGCCATAATACAGGAAGTTACCATCTGATATGCGCAAATATCGAAAGGAACCAAGATCTTTGAGTTATAAACATGCATTTCAAGTTTCATCAAAATCAGATGAAAATTGTGACCTCTAGAGTGTCCACGAGCTTAAAACGTGATTTTTCGTACAATCAGGGCCATAATCCATGAAGTTATGGTCCGATATATGCCAATATCGAAAGTGACCGAGAACTTTGGGAGATAGACCTATATTTAAAGTTTCGTCAAAATCGAATACAAATTTTGACCTGTACGTACAGTGTCCACAAACAAATTGTGGACAGACGGACGCCGGGCGTCCAGGGGCGACCACAATATACTTCCACATGAAAAGTTGGGCGTATAAAAACTTCTTATCTGTGTGTTGACGGGGACAAAAAATATGAATGGCAATATGCTTTAATAGTGATACTATAATAGCCTATTGTCATACTTTAGATAAACCTCATTGGACTATATATTATTGACAAATCACATCCAAGCACACCCCCAACACATTCAGAACAAACATAATAAACTATGATAACGTAAGAATACTTTCAGCAAAGACAATTAATTGTCAGCGGTACTAATCTAAATTGGTTTTATTTATTTCAAAATAAATTGACACAATTTGTAAATATAAATAAAATAAATATAGCTATAATATTAATTTGTTTATTGCACTGTATATACCATAATATTGTTTCATTCATATAATTACTATTTTAATAAACTATTAATCAATCACTAATTACAATACATTACAACGAATTACAACGAAAGCAAACATTATAGTTTCTTGTCAACAAAAACCACATACACGAGTTATCTCCCTTCAGGCGTGTGAGTGTGAAATTCCGATTTGGGCACAAAGCAGCAAGCTTCTTAAAGCGAAAATTTCAAATTTTCTAAGAAAGTCAAAACATAATTATTTCTGTCTTTTGCTCAATAGGTTATCAAATAACTATTATACGATCATGGGCATTATTTCCCACCCTTAAAAATCTATGAAAAAGGAAATAACAACACAATTACCTCCCCTGTTTTGCTATTGACAACATGGGGCAGCCATTTCCCAACGTTGGAATTTGAAGTTAAAAATGATATTTTTGCCAATTTCTCAGCTGGCAATAGCGAATTATAGGATTAATAGGATTATTCTTTATATGGATACCATCTATTTTAAGGCTTTATTTTAATACATTTTAAAAATATAACTTGAAAATTTGCAATTGCAACTTTAAATTTAACTAAATTCTTATTTTGTGTTTCCAACGTCAACATTACAATACCTTGCAACGACTTCAAACGAAAGCAAACATTAGTTTCTTGCCAACAAAAACCACATGTACACGAGTTATCTCCCTTCGGGCGTGTGAGCGTGAAATTCCGATTTGGGCACAAAGCAGCCGAGGCTTCTTCAATTCAACTAAATTCTTATTTTGTGTTTCCAACGTCAACATTTTGGAGTTATTAAGCAGCTATTGGGTGTTATGGGTAATTGGACGCGCCGATAATCAATCATTGTTTTGATGAAAAATATTGTCAATTTTGCCTACTTATAGGCTATAGCAATTAGCACCATCTATAGTCTTATCTTGAAATACGGAGGGTTGAGAGATTAAGGTTTGTTATCTATGGAAGGATAACGTTGCCAATATTATTTCAATGTTCACTGTACAAACTGCATATGTCAGTAGTTCAAAATAGGTATTTTTATAGTTTTACAATTTGCAATTTCCATTGCTCTACAATACCATCGTCACAGTGTTAAAATACAGAATACATGTACACTTTTCAATATATAATAGTTATTTTGTCCATTGCACTTCTCCATTCTGCATTTTGCATTATAGACAAATGCATAATACTTTTTTTTATATCTGTAGGCGTAACCGTGGCTGAACAAGACAGTGATGAAATTGGCAGAACCTCCTAATCTTCAACGTACGGAGTGTCTGGGACCGTTGTCAACATTTGACGAAAAGTCAACTTCCCATGCGTAACCGGGAGTTTGGTTATTAATGTGGTTGATTAACAATAAAGTTAAGTAAGAGTTGCACCCCTTCCCGAAATAAATCCCATAATTTTTGCGTTAATATAAACAAACATGAATCGTGACGACGAATTAGGATTAATTTTTAAAACATAGATATGGCCCATGAAGAGAGAAATTTTACAATAAAACCCCCCCAAGAGTGTTGGATATTGAACTGGCATGCAATTAAATGGATTTTTTTAAATGGCATTCTTGAATTAATTTCATGGGCATCAGCATCTTGTTTTAGGACTAGTTAACTCCCTTAGACTTTGTTTATGATCATGTAAAAGACTGGATAATCTAGCCAATGATCTATTTTTCTCAAATGTTGGCAACGCATCAAAACTAATGTTCGTAGAATATTTTTTCTGGGTTATATAGAGACTGCTTACATGATAACACTCGGGTGTTTACTGTAAAACTTAGTAAATATTTAAAGGGGTATTGCCAGTGAGTAATAAATTTATTTTGGACTTTTGTATCCAAGGGCCACTATTCTGTGTTGGAAAATATTATGTTCAGCCTTGTCGATATTAGTTAGCAACAAGATGGTGTCACTTTATCTTACCTTTTATTACCACCAATACACGTGTAGAACCCTAATTTGTATGCTTCAACTTACAAATTACAGTAACATCAAATTATTATTATTTTTTTCAATTAGCATTATTTATTACGTTTCTATAATGTCATATAGGGATCTAAAATTAGTTTCTGACTGTTTCAACTGCGATGAAATGGCCCGTTTTCCACGGGTCACTTTTGTTGTTTTCCGTTTTTAAAACAGTCAATTATTTTACGATGTTCATGAAATTTTCACCATTGTGACGTGTAATGCCGATTGTAAGTATATAAAATTGAAACAATTTATCTTTATCATTGTCATCGGAAGTGACTTTATTTTGGTAAAATTGTATATATTTTCGACTTTGATTCTAGTCTGTCGTTATATGTTTAAAAAAAAAATAGAATGAATCAATACAGAAAACAACAACAACAACAAAAATAGTTTCTAATTTGTTTCATTGTCAGACTCACTTTAAGATTTTTATACGTATTAATAAGGCTTCATAAAAGTTTAATTCTGTCCAATGTTTACTAAATCATGCTTCATGTAAAAAACATTCAAAGGAATTATTCTATAATTACAATTTAAATATTCTGTTGATAACGGACGTGAAAAAGAATTAAATAAATAAAAATAGTAAAATATTATAAAAAAAATGTGTATTTGCTATGTCAACCATAGTCCACCTATAGTGATGTCATCTTGTTTGATTTTTGGCGGGGTCAAGATCAAGTATAAATTTGAGTAGGTAAATATTTCAAAGACTATTTTTAGTATTTGTAATGTAATTCAATTTATGTAATTGAAATGGATATTTTGAAAGGGCTTCAGTCGGTAACAGGGATTGAGCCATTGTTCGCTGGACTCCTTTTCTGACATTTTAGTAAATCATTCAGGGTAATTAATGTATAAATCTAACTTATATCTTTTGATATATGTTGACAAGTAAAATGACCAAAGGTTA